TTGTCTGCTTTATTGTCTAAAGAAGTTTGAAGTTCATTTATATCGGAGATATTGTGTTTATGAGATTTCAAAACTTTGTTCGTTGCGTCAAGTTCATTTTTGTCCGCTTTACTATTTAATGTAGCTTGAAGTTCATTTATATCGGAGATATTGTGTTTATGTTCTTTATCTGCTTTTTCGGCTAATTTCTCTTCTATCTCATTTATTTCAAGTTCATGCCTACCACCACCTCCCGAAGAAGTATTTTTCTTCAGCTCTTGAAGAACGTCCACTTCGCCATCTTTGGTGTCAATAATGAGACTTTGTGTTAAAACCTTTCCTGTCTTAATGGATGTTTGTAAAACTTCTTCTTCACCGTGTTCGGGGTCATGGTCGTCATCATATCTTGTGAAATCAGAGATGTTGTCATACATTAAGCATATCTGTCTCAAAAGTTCTGCTATTTGAAACTGGAACGAAAGATATACAGAACTTTCATCATCTCCTAAAGTCAAGTCTGCTTTCTTAAGTATTTCTTGAATGTATGCAATGAGAACAGAGTACCTTGGAAAATATTCGAACAATATTTCATTAGCTGTTGGTTTTGGTGGTTCTTCTGGAGTTTCTGTTGTTTCAGTTCCTTCTGTTGGAGTTTCTGCATCTCTTGACTTCAATGCTCTTGCTCTCAAAGACCTAAATGTTAGAGCACCGGGTTTTACAAAGGACTTTATAAATGCTTTAATAGTTCCTGGTAAGTTATTGTTAGCATTAAGTAAGTTCCTTATGCTTCCATCATGTACGTCCATAGCACTATGTAAAAAATCTATACTTTTCTTGTAGTCAGCAATAGACTGACTGTGATTTTTTAAAGATTTGTCAATACCTTTAAGCCAATCTTCATGCATGTCTGATACTGAGCCAAGAATATCATTTGCTTCCTTTAGTGTATTTTGTGCTTTCGTAAAGTATCCAATCCCGTACGTGCATTGTTTGCTATACGTCTTACAGTATCTATTTGACTCCTTGTTTCTTGCATCCAACCAGATAAAGTTTTAATAGTATCCGAACCATTTGAAATGAAGTTCAAAGCATTTTTAACGTCATCTAAAGCTTCTTCACCAAGTACAGCCCATATCTTTCCGATTTGGTATTGAAGAACTCCATATGAAGCAGCTGTTAAACCAGTATTTATAAGGTCCCATATCCATGATTTAGCAGTTTTTCCATCCTTTCCATCCTTTCCATCCAAACCGTTTTCGCCTTGAGGTCCTTGTATTCCTTGATCCTTGTATTCCTTGAGGTCCTTGTATTCCTTGTGGTCCGGTGTCACCCTTCTCTCCTTTCAGTTCATCTTTATGTTCGTTATAATATTCTAATGTCATAAGGTGTACATCATTACTGCTACCAGCAACGCCTAAATTTGTTTCTCATTCATGACTAAATTCTTTAGGCATTTAATGTTGTCGTCAAATCGAAAGCTCTTTAACAATTCAATGAGAACATTCAGTACTTTCACTAATGAGGCATCTACTGTAGAATTTATATATTGCACCGTTCCATCATTTATGATAGGAACTTTACTTATTGTAATGAATGGGTCATAAGTGTTAAAAGTATCGAAATCAATGACTTTTTTAGTTTTTCCATCGTCAATGACTAAATCATTGCCTTCAATGGTTAAAGTTGAGTTTTCGTTTACTAGTTCATGTGCTCTTCTTGCTTCATTTGTTTCATACGCATATGCAGCAATAGTCATATTTTAATGAGAATAAAATGTTGTTCTATTTGCAAAGTACAGACCCAAACGAATACGGAACAGTAAAGCTACAAACAAACTTAGGTCTTCAGAATGAAGCGCTTGCTTTCAGAGTTGTTGACTTCAATACTATCGCAACTTTTGTCATAACAGATGAAACAGATTTCATGGAGTTTGAAATAGATGGAAAGAAGCATGAAATAAGATTTCACAATAATGTAGAATATAAGATGGAAACATTAGCTGGAGTGTTAAATGCGCTCATAAATACTACAATAAACAAGGAGAACGAAGAAAACTTAATGAATGTTAAACTTATTGCAGGAGTTTTGAAGTTCAGTTATGCGAAGGAGTTTAAGATAACACGAATGAGTCATAGAGTTCAATTGCTTCTGGGAGCATACCATATGACATTTCCTTTGAAAAGTTTGACAAAACGATTGAGATGAAATCTGTTCCATACGTATGTTATGGTAATTGTTTGTACATTGAGTCTAAAATAGCTAATGTCACAGGCATTTCAGGAGTTAATAGTAAAGGTTCAGTAGAATATAAGTCTTTCTGTTATGCAGTCAATTCAATGTTCATTCCAAACGTTCCTGTCATAGCAACTCATTTAGGTAAATGGGTTCGCATTAGTCCTCATAATTTGAAAGACATGCAATTCAGACTTGTTGACTTTCAGGGCGAGCCTGTAGAACTGAAGGCACCAGTGCGAATGACTGTTGAAGTTGACTTTTTAGAAAATATTAAATGCAACAGCTTACAAGAGAACTCAGAGCTAAAAATATAAAGTATGAATGTTATGTATTAGGTCATGAACTTTGGTTTTGCTGTTTGATGAAACAAATGAGTTAGTTATGTCAGTCAAGAGAACAGAAAAAGGCGTCAAAGGCGCCGAGCGCAAAGCGCTATATTGTGTTAGTGAAAACTGCACCAAGTCAATAAGATTAGGTTTGCATTATGAAGATGAGTTCGATACTGTTGAAGAAGTTTTGGACAGATATTACAAATTGCTTTAATTTACTAAAACATATTTCAAACAAATTTATATTCTGTTGAAAGTTTTGTATACTCGTTCGAATATTTATACTTAAACTCAACTCCTGTAGTTCCTGGTGTTTCAATGATGCGGATGTTACCTATTTTCATGAATGGTGGCGTTTGACCACAGCATTCGATTTCAGGGTCGAGATAGTCAATGACACATTGTTTCCCTGTTATTCGTGAGATAACATTTTCAAGGTCCTCCTTTGTTAGAATTATTTGGTTCTTACTTATAAGATTTGTCAAAAGCTTCTTATCGTCTTTGAGTAAAATTGTTTGGTATAACTGAAGAAGGTAATGGTCTACGTTATCTGAAGGATTTGTTTGAACATTTGTGTAAGGGTTGTCGTTGGCTTCTCTTGAAAGAATTTGGTCCAGTGGTGGATACTCTAACTTAACATCTGATGTAGCGTTAGCGTTTGAAGCTGAGTTTAAATTCACGGATTTCAGTTCTGGTTCTTTTTCTTTCAAACACTCTGAACTATAGTTCTTTATGACAATATTGTTTGTCGTTCGTGAGTCAACATTTGATGTTGGTTCAATTGGAACATTAACGGCACCAGCTAAGATGGATTTGCTTCTCATTTCATATAGAATAAAAACCTTTTATATGTATGAAATGAACAATATACTCGACAAGGGTTTGAATGTAAAGCTAACGAATGAAAATATTGTTGAATTCACTGAGACAGGTGCTGTGTATAAAGATGTAGAACTACTGAACAAAAGAGCTAAGGGAAGAAGCAGGAACATGAACAAAGGGTGGAAGCCTATAAAAATTTATGTCAATGATGGCTCAGGAGGTTCAAACATAAAGTATGCAGAAAGTTATAGAGTTTATGCGCTAAAAGGTGAAAAGCCTTCATTTAAGAACAGCTATTCTAACGCATATCCTCAAAAGTTAACGGATGGGGAAGTGGATGATATGAATGACAGCAAAAATATTAACAGAAATGGCGACAGAGATGCATGGAATTTGTTTACCATCAGTCAATTGAAGGTTAAACTTTAAAACAATGTTGGTCGTTCCCATGGAATATTTTTGACTTTAATGGTATTAGTCATGATATGAATCTCAAGGTATGAACGAGGAGAGATGAGAGACTTATATGCTTCCCAAATTTCTTCAAAAGGTAATGTTATACCTGACTGTTTCCAAATGAGTTCAATATCATAACGTGAGAAACCTTGAAAGATAACGAAGTCAGTTATGAGACGTTTTATGTTTAAAGCTAAAAACCTCCATGTTTGCATAAGTATTGCTACAGTTAAGTGGTAATGTCTGACTTTAGTAATGATATTAGCTAATGGTGAGTCTGGTTTTGACACTAAACCTTTACCAGCGAAGTCGTCGCAAACGAGCAGAGTGTTTGAAGGATATTTTTTGAAGGGGTATTTTGAAAGTTTTGATAGAATGTAGTTTGTCAGTCGTTTCATATCGTAAACTCCTGAGTACTGACGTAAGTGGTGTTTGTCAATAATTCTTTCCATCTCTTCTGAAGTCTTTTGCATTCCTGACTGTATAAATTCAACGATGGCATAATATTTCCTCTTACGTCGAATGTAACGTTGAAGAAATTCAATGAGTTCACTGTCTGGAACTTTAACGACAGAGGCTTGAACTTTTGACATAAATGTTTTCGCTGTTGAGTCCATAGAGTCTGAAGTTGCTGATATAATGATTTGGTCATAATATGAGTCATTTCCTAAACGCTCTGTTATGAGTATATGACGAATTAAATTAAATGTCTTACCTGAACCCATCTTTCCACAATAGAAATAAACACCATTTGAACAGAACTCATAGTCCTTACTGAAAGGAAGAATGAGAGAAGAGTTAAGTTTGTCTGTAGTTTCATTCATGTCTTCATCTACGTCATGTATTAAATGCTTCATTTTATCTCCATTAAAAATGCAAGTCAGAAATATTCAGAACATAGCACCGAGTCTAACTGACAAGAGTATAAAGATATACTATGAACACGTTATGATGAAACCAACCAAAATTCAAGAAAGTCAGTATACTTATGAATATCCAAGACACTGGGTAGAGTATGTAGGAGGTGAGAAAGCTATTGAAATAAGACAGGTTCGAAGTATTCCAGCAGGAAGAACAATATTATTGAAGAACTTTAATGTTTTGAGGTATAATGATGAGACAAAGAAGCAAGATAGTTTTCCTATTGCTGTGTATGTGAACCTAGACACAGGAGATGACATGAAAGTTTTTAATACAAAGCTTCAAACGGTAGTGAGAGAACAACTGACTGCGGAAGGACACCCATTACCTTCAGAAGTTACCATAGCGTATAATTTTGAAACAAATGCAATAGATTTTAAAGTCGTCTCTGCAAAGAAGTCAGGTTTTACATTTAATGAAGCAGATGTATATTCGAATGAAAACTTCAAAGCTATTGCATGGTTAGATAATGACGATTGCTTTAAGAAAATATTTAAATTCAGTGACTCAACGATGTCAATAGATGACCTTCGTGGAATGTTACCATCGACGTTTACAGTAGAAGGTTCAGCAGGATTGCTTACAAGATTGTCAATTGGTGGTATTTGGTCTCGTGAGAACATTGTTATAAAATCCAGTATAAGTGAATTTGCTGAAGAATCTATATTATGTCTTTCAAACTATATGTATTCGCCGCCGAAGCATTATAGTATAACAAACTTTGTCAGTAAGTTTAATATAAGACTTGTTGAACCTTCTTCAATGAAAGATGTTGTGCTACCCAAAGACGGAAAGGATGGACTCATTATTGAGATGATTTTAATAGCATATTAAATGAGCTTGTTTTTAAAGGTCATTCATGATGAAATAACTGTTGTAGAAGATGTTAGCAATTGTTCAGACATTTTGAAGCGTATAGATGAGATAAGAAAGAAGTTTATGAATGAGAATGTTTATGTTTCATTGACTTTCTCCAGTAACGAGAACTTTTATGAGATAATATTGAAGAGAGATGATTTTAATATGGTGTAAATGGTAGCTTGGGCAGCTTTAGGCGCAATGGGAACAAAAGCATTAGCATTTGGAGCAAAAGCACTTGGAGCTTATGACGCAGTAAATAAAATGAGTGGAGGAAGAGTTTCGAAGACATTAGATGCAAATAAAGGAAAGATTGGAGGCTGGGTTGCAAAGAAGTTAAGATTAAATAAAATAGGACTCATAAATAAAGCATCCAATTTGGTTGCGACTGAGTCAGAAAATGCTTTAGGAAAGGACGATGAGTTTGCAAAACACGCAAAAGACTTTAATGACCAGATGAAAGGTGAAACAATGCATTTAAATAGAGTCGATGGAACTCTTCCTCCACCAGTAGTTCTTCCGTATGGTCCCTATGGAATGTATGGAAACCCTTACGAAAGACCATTTGACCCATTGACTGGTGGAAGTAATTGGTATCATTACGGACGAAGAAGAAAGACAGTCAAGTTGGAGACAGACGTGAAGAAAGCAACTAAAAAGAAACCAAGGAAGAGAGTTATAAAGTAATGAATTCAACGGGTGAAAAAAGAGGTGAAAAAACAGGTGAGATCTCACCACTTCACCTAAATTTATTTTTGCGCTATGTTTTCATACGTGTGAGGGTGGTGATATCATTAATTTTTAAGTTTATTTTTAAGTTTATTTTTATTTTATTTTTATGTAAATGACAGAACAAAAGCAACTCATTCGAATTCCACAGTATAACAAACATACATTTAAACATTTATTCTTCCTTCCTGAGCATAACATGTTCTTTCAAATACATCCGAGACCAGTTGACTTTTCATTGACTGTGTATAAAGATAGAAATAGTTATATCATTAAACCATACGATGACGAAGGTAAGTTATGTAAATTGTACGTTAAGAAGTTAGAGAAAGTTTATGGCTTCAAGTATGACTACAATAGGGTTAACACTGATGATGAAGATATTGAGGAAAATTTATGAGAACATTAGTGAAGTCGTTAGTGAGAACGATAGTGAGAACGTTTATTTTTACATTAGTGAGTTCGTTAGTGAAGTCATTTATGTGTCAGATGGTTTTGTAAATATTTAAGGTTGAGTTGGTGTTATGGTTGTGTTGTAAAATTTACGTTAACGGTTTCGTAAATATTTAAGGTTAAGTTAGTGTTGTCGTTTGTGTTGCAAAATTTACGTTAACAGTTTTGTAAAGTGTCAAATTCACAAGTATTGGGTAAGGAAGCGCGCAGTGCCTCCGTACCCAAGACTTGTATACTAACTGATATTATTCGAATCGCTGATAAAATTGATCTTCAGGGGATTCTCCGAGTAAACCGTTTGTATAAGCTAAGAAAAGACAATCTATCCTTTTTCATAGGCTAGTGTCCATAGCATTGTTAATAATTATGAATGCAAGCATAAACCAGATTAAGCATTTCTATGGTAATCCCTTGATATAATTTTTTACTAGAGTTTTTTTTTGGAATTGTTTCCTTAATATATATATAGAATGGCCAGAGTTAGCATTTTAAGATAAAAGTAAGTAATATAATATACTCAGTGATCAGATACTTTTATTCATATATTTTTTTAGCTCTTGTTGACAAGTTAAACTAAGTTTATTCAACTACTTTTCTTCTTTTCTCTTGTTATAAGAAAGAAGAACATCATATGCACAATTACATTCATATTCTTCGGCCAATTCAAGAGCTGTTTTCCCACTATTATCCTTTGCATTAATATCTGCCCCATGCTGAAGAAGCGTTTCAACAATTTCTTTATAATCATTTAGTGCTGCTAAATGAAGAGGAGTTAATTTAACATCATCTTTTGAATTGATATCTGCACCATGCGATAAAAGGAGCTCTAAGACTTCTTTACTATTATTTTCGGCAGCAATGCTTACAGCTGTTTTTTCAAATGCATCTTTTGCATTGATTTTTGCTCCATGTGAAATGAGTAATTCAGCTATTTCTTTGCTGTCATTTTTTGCTGCGACATGAAGTGGTGTTTCATCATATTCAGCCTTTGCATTGACTTTTGCGCCATATCTTAAAAGAATTTCGGCTGCTTCCTTACTATAGGGTGTCCAAAGGTGCGTTTAGCACAGCGCTCTATATGAGACTATTAAAGGAGATATATGCTGATTATAAATATATAATAAAAAATATGAATATATGTATATGATGAGTATGTTGTATTTTGGCGCCATGCCGGGATATAAAATGAATTTTGAGACAAGAGGCGGTTTCGCGGGAAATTTTGGCGGGATTTTTTTCATTTTTTTAATGAATCATAAAGAAAACATCCTCGCTCTTGCAAAAAAATGCAAAGACTGTAAAAAAATCTACGAGACATTGGTAAAATGCTTCGGTATGGATGCTCCTAGCTATTCCACTGTAACGTATCATGTTAGGATGTATCACTTCATGAACAAAAAGGCGCCCATCATAAAAATTGACAAAAAATCGCCGGATCAAAGAAAAATCAAAGCAATTCTTCAAGCGCTAGATGAAGACCCAAGAGCATCACTCAGAAGGATAGAGGAGATGACAAAGATACCACGTACAACAGTCAGTTATTATCTGCACAATTATTTGAACTACAAACTAGCGTATACACGTTGGGTTCCGCACAACCTTAATTCAGTTCAAAAAAATCTAGAGTCCAATCTTCGAAAGAGCTCCTCTCTATATTGCGTGCATATCAATCCAAGAAGTTTCACTTTTTAGTAACAGGGGACGAGTCTTGGTTTCAATATGCAACAGAAGCCAAAATCATGTGGATCCCGAAGGATGAAAATCCGCAAACATTCCCGAAGAAAAAAATTGACACACCAATGATGATGTTGTCGGTTTTTTGGGGCGTGAATGGCATCATCGCAATTGATATTCTTCAAAAACCTAATACGATGAATGCTCAGTATCTAATTGACAATGTTCTTACTCAAATTATCAATTCTGATGAGTTTGAGAAATCCAAACAACAAAAACAAAAGTTTGCAATTCATTTTGATAATTCAAGAGTTCACAAAAGTCATAAGGTAATGAATTACTTGGTGGAAAACAATGTCAAAGTTGTTCCAAACCCAATTTATTCACCTGATATTGCACCCTCTGACTTTTATTTATTCGGCACGCTAAAAAAGAGAGCTGAAGGACGCGAATTCGCGAGTCCAGATGATCTTGAAAATTTTGTAAGAGAGCAATTTGAGCAATTTTCTCATGATGATTTAAAGCGTGTCTTTCAAGCCTGGATCGATCGCTGTGAACGCGTGATTGAATCCAATGGTGATTATATTTAAATAAACTTTATATATATGTAACTTGTTTATTTCTATTCGCAGTATTCAGGTTTGTGCTAAACACACCTTTGGACACCCTATATTATATATTGCAGCATTGTGAAGTGGCGTATTACCATTGTTATTTATTGTATTAACGCCCATTAAACCTTTGCTTAATACAAATTCACAAATCTCAAAATTATTTGCAGAGGCCGCAAAATGAAGAATGGTGTCTCTATCAGCAGTAATCATGCTTAAATTTAGTTTTTCGTTGAAAATAATCTCCTGTGTTTGTGAAAAAGATGCACACCATAGAATTATTAAATTTGGATCTTTCTCATATAAAAGAAACACAGCTTTCAAGTTTTGAGATTTGAAAATCGCAAGGGTCAAATAAGTCTCTTTCAATTATATGCTCAAGGAATTTGTTGTTATGAGATCCAATAATGTATTCAATGCATTTTTTGTCTATTTTTTGCTGTTTAAGCATTCATTTATTATATCAGTATTTCCGCCAATAAAGGAGTACTCAAGGCAAGATTGAGTTATTTCTTGTTTTAAATTTGAACGGATGAAATTAAATATGTTCACTGAACCGTAATAGCATGAAGCTTCGATAGGAGAAAAGCGGGAGTAAACACTATATAATTCAATGTCTTCCAAGGATTGTTGAGCAGCATATTCTTTAAATTTATCGATTTGGTCATACATAATAATGTAGTGAAGATCATCTTCAGTTGGGAAAAATTTGTATGGACTGATTTGGTATATTCCATCAGTAGTTTTGTCAATAGATAAGTTAAACGCTTCTGCATCATCTATTATTATTTTGATATCTGAGCCTGAAAGTGAAAGTTCAGATAAGATTAAGTTTATAATTTTGATGTAGCTCTGGATGGATCGATAGTTGAACTGAATTGCTTGGATTAAGCTAAAAATGAGGTCAGATTTATGCAATTTATACTTTGAAATCAGAATAGATTGTATGGAATTGAAAACTTCTTCAATTGGATCGCTAAGTTTTATGTGAAATAACCTTTCAAACACTTCGATGAATTGTTCATATTTCTGCAAATACTTACTCATCTAAAATAAAGGCCACTTGATCTTTTTATAAATTTCACTTTTTATCGGCTTGGGCGCCAGTAAGCTTCAAACTTTAACGTATGCGAATCTGATTTCATTCTCCAATATCATATCTATTACGAACTATAAGATCCATATATTTCATAAATCGTTTTAGTTTTCTCCACAATAGCTAGTAATTGCATTTGTTCAGATTTGAATGAGTTTTTTATAGTGCCAATCCAAATATAATGAATCCATAGTACAATCTGCCAGTAATCCTCCAAAGTTCTTTCAATTACATTGAATGGGAGGGCGAAACAATATAATTTGATAAAAATTGGAGGACTCTTACTGCATCAATCTCATTATATTATATTTTTTAGTTGTCATTTACTTAAATATGATTATTATTCAAAATGTTTGAAATAATTTCTCATTATTAATCGTGATTTACTTTTAAGCCTACATGTGATTCTTTTTAGAAGTCGTACTACTCGATATTATTAATATTAGAAAGTATAACAACAGTGATTATACGCATTGTGTGCATAAGTATTAATGAATCTTCTATTTACTTCGAAGATGGGGCATGAGTATTAATGAATTTTGTATGAATTACATTTGAAATATGATCCTTATATATATTGAGGAAGTTTCATTTATTTTTTCATAAACTTGTTTGAAAATTAAGTTTAAGAGAGAGTTTAGATAAGTATGCTTTATAAGCACTTATGTATCCTATAAGTTAGGGAAAATTGAGAGTATCAGGTCACTTGAGAGTAGCAATATGTATCAAATATACTAATTTAATTGATGGTAAATATATAATTAGTTATACATATATAAATACATTTTATTTTTAGAACATATATGGTTGAAATGCAACATTTCTTTAATTTGGAAATCAGAATTTGATCAAAAATTGACTCTATACCGTAAGTGAATAGATATTTGTAGACATTATGTTCAAGGTATGCAATATTTTGCATCGAATATCATAAAATGTGATAAACCTGAATTAATCAATACGTTCGAATAAATGGATTTACCAAATCAAAATGATATATTACTGATCTCTGATACTATCAGAATCATTTTGTTAAGATGAAAAAAGCAAATGATAATTTATAGTTTCAATGAAGAGATCAAAAAAATTCAAATAAAATTATGTCGAATTGAAATGAAAATTTTTGAAATTAACTAGTTTATCAATATAGAAATCAATTTTGGATGAAAGTTTATTTTTGTTCAGTCAAACCGCCATTTCAAATTTCTCACTGTAAGATAAAAGACAAAATTATTGATTAATGGATTCTTTATATGATTAAGTATTTGAAAATATATAAAATATCTAAAAATACTTATCTTGAAGAAACCGATTAGAATTTCAGTGGAAAATCCTAAAATTAAAGAGAGAGTTAGTTAATTGATTCTAAAGATTTTCTCAAATTGGTTAATATAAATAATCATTCAATTTTTTATTTCCTCAAAAATCAGGTAATTTTCATAGCTTCTCAATTAAATAATTAATTATTGATTATCAAAAATTGCTTGTTAAATAATTTTCTGCAATATATATCCTAATATTTTCTTTTCAAATTTCAACTCTGAAAATTGAATTTATGCTTTTCAAAATAAATTAGGTAAATTTTGTGTAATAATCATTAGTTGTACTTATTCAATTCATTTGAGCACAATAATCTATATTGAGATTATTCAATTATTTTTATAGCACAGTATCAATATTGTTTATATGGTATATTTGATCAATATTATGTAGGAAATTAATTTTAACGTACTATTCAAAAATCAAAAATACTTTCTCATAGCTCTCAAATAACTCTTAACAATTTATTTATAGATTAATTCTCTTAGTTTACACATATTAAGCAAATATATTTGTCTATGTCCCAACGTTGTTAAACAAATTTCAATAGGTATTCAAAAGATTCACATTGTGGGATGGATGCATACATCATTAGGTTTAATCAGAACCTTGATTTCTATGTTCCATTCGATGAGCCTCTAACTGCAGGCGAAGTAAAGCAAGAAATGTTTCTACAGCTTGAGGAATCAACAAGTTCAATGTTTTTAATCTACAATGGAGAGATCCTCAAAGATGAATCTAAGTTAGAGACTCTTGGGATCAAAAAGGTTCCATCCTCCACTTGTACATTCCAAAGTATGACAACATTTTCGTCCAATCTCCAAAGCGCATGATGAACGAGATTTTATCATTGTTCATTAATATCAATTTAATTCCTGATGAATCTTACATAGAAGCTGTTCAGACCATCAAAAAGTATATTGCATCGCCAATAATTAAGTCCCTGGTTAGAATTGTTCCAGAGTTAAATGACATTTTTGATGAAATTCTTGATTACATCAAAGAGATTGAAGCTCCTAGCGATGAATCCATTTATGAAACCATTTCCAGAATTCAAGATAACGCTTTTGTGAGCACCTTTATGATAGTGATTTAAAGAGCTATACAGAGTTTAAGTCAGAGGAAGGGGCAATTTACGAAACCAAATGCCAACATATTTTGGACGTCCAAGACGATTATTTCCAATCAGAAGGTCATACTACTAATATTGATGAACCCTTAAAAGTAGACTACATTCCAAGTATCAGCTCTGACCCGCTTCCATTTTACGATCCATATAATTTTTGTAATTCAGCAGATTACTAAATTTTGTTTGTTTTTTGTTTGTGAATTGCGATATTTTTAACTTTGAGTAAGGGTTTCGTTTTGCGAAAAAAACGTACAATACGCAATTTCGCTAAAAAAACATTTAGCTAGCAATTTCGACCTTTGACTCCACTCAAGACGTCACTTTTTAAATTTTGCGGTATCATATTTTTGGAAAATCTTTATGAATATTATATAAAAAGTCTCTTTAATATCTATATTTCATATTTTTATCGATTTTTTAAGTTTTTGCGAAAAGTATTCAATTATTTTTGCTATTTGGTCGGGTAAATGTCAGATTTGCGACATTTTCTGATATGATATTCAGATTCTACGTTGATAATAATGCTTATAGAACCCTCTTGCTATTGTGTCAAAATTGCGAAACCGATAGCAAAAATATCTCGCAATATCAAAATTGAGATATTGAGTGAATTATGCATTATAGAGATTAAAAATCTGATTTGTGAAAACATCTCATCAGTTCCTAGCTAATTCAAAAATCTTTACTATCTTATTCGATTAAAATGAAAAGGGAATAGTTTCATTATGCTTTAAATGACAGCCTTATAATATAATCATAGTTTTCGCTCAATATGCAGCATTTTTTTTTCGAAATCTATGGTCAATGTCCTAAATACTGATTGCTTTGCATTCATATCTCTTACATTTTCTATACCCACATCATTATTCATTGCTATTCCTATCTTTTTCATTTTTGTTTGTTTCTCATAATTTCTCAAAAAACATGATAACTTGATATTTGTAAATATCATACTTTATAACGTAAATAAGAACTTGACCTATTAAGAAAAGCAGTAATGAAAAGAAAATCTGAAATTCATAAAAATTACAAGTTTCTGATGACAATTAGCTTAATTAAACCAGGTACAAGATTATATAATTGTATTTTCTATCCAATTATCCATATAATATCTTATCCAGAAAAAATAACTTGATCAATACCAAATGATTTTTTAACTAGTAAATAAAGTATTTTCTTTACACACACATTGTATATCATAGTTTTTTTTTTTTTGGTTTCGCAAAACATCCAAAAACAAATATGCTATAAAAGTGACAATTTTAGCAAAACGAAACCCTTACTTTGAGCAAATCATTACGGTTATTTTCATAATTTGAATGATATTTTATCGGTAAATTCATGCCAAATTCTCAATCATATAAAAAAGCAGCAATATCAGATAGGAACAAAACTTCCATGTGGTATTAATGACCATCAAGTTTATCAATTTGAAACAAATAGGATTCAAATTACCTGAGCATCAGGCAAAAATAAAAATTTCAAGCCAAAGCCTTGGTATGTGTGTTAAATAGACGAAGATGCAATAAACGAAATTAATAATCAAAAAAAATCAATTAAAATATTAGTCAAATCTTTAAACGTATGGTGCTGATGAAATACTTTCGTGTATTTTATTTTATTTATTCCTTCTCTTTGGATGATTATCGAATTTTTCCCAAAAATTTGATATTTGACAGTAAATTATCGGTTCTTTTTAGCATATTAAGCATTGAAACATCTTTTTATATTGCTTTATTCATTTAAAAATCAATAAAATGGCGTAATGGTTTTCGAAATGATTTCAAACAGAGGATAAAAAATCAATATCTTAAGGGTCCACTGTAAGGCCAAATAAGGTCTATCGTCGTCCCAAAAATATTGCTCGAGATGGTGTTTTACTAAGGCCCAAAACTTAAAAAAACACAAAAAAATTAACTTTACTCTTTTGAGATCCTTATCAGATATGCATCAATTTGATGCAGTATCGCAGTTCAAATCTGATTTTTTAATGTAGATGTACTCTAACATCCTTTAAAAAATGCAAAATGATATTAATTAAGCTTTTCATTTCTGTATCATACACGAAACAAAATCGTTCATTATACTAAAATTTATCAAAGTTTGATTAATGAAAAAATAATATCTAAATTTTTACATTGAGTCGGCTATTGATATGGTTAATATTAAATCTTGTAAAAATTGGCATTATCCAGAATAATACCCACTAAAATACACAATTTTTTTTTAAAAAATTTTATCAATTGTTATGGTATATCTTTATGATAATGAATAAAATGCTTATTTTTCATAAGTAAATACATAATTTATGCTTAAACACAAAAAATAACACAAAAATTTTTGGCCAACATATCTAAACTAAGGATAATGGTTTGAATATATAAACAATAATACTTTGTCCAGGGAATTAAATTTGTGCTATCCAATTGTCAATTCTTTGAATTTTTTTTAAATGCAAGATATCCCGGCATTAACCTCAATAAATATATATATTATGCATCATAATATTAGTATGTAATGGCATTAAAGCGAAATTCCTAATTTCTTCTCAATTAAATTCCTTGAAAAACATTGGAATTAATGATTGGAAATAGGTCAAAAAAATTCCTAATATAAAACTTATACTTAAGATAAAATTAAAATTCGAAAATATCTATTTTTCAAAACACGCATCCAAAAGCGAAAAAATTCGAAAAAATCATGTTCTTATAAAACTCACTGATTTTGCAATTTTTATGAGATTTGAAGTGATAGGATATATTACCATCTTATTGAAACATATGCTTCATTGTTGTATTCACATAATATTAATCAGAACACTAGGAAAAGTGGATTTTCGAAAAATGACGATAACGATTATTTGCAGATCGCCTCTCAATTTTGAGAGACTTTCAATTTTTACAGTGGACCCTTAATAAGATCGTTGATTTCCTACAACAAATTTGATTCAAATGTTGGATCAATGTCCTTTTGGTCTTTCTGAATTTTTGTTGGATATAAATTTGGTTCTAAATTATTCGCCAACTGTCAATTTTCTCCTTTCAATTATGATTGAAAATGCAGGAAATGATGACATCTTTAGAGATATATCTGTAGCAAGTTTTATAATTTATGTACAGTGTTATTCAATTCATGAAAAAATAAACTATTTTGTATAGAAATGATTTGAATTACTTCTCAATTTTTTTAAAATATTAATATTTGAATTATGAGAGGAAGGAAGAAATTAGGATTCCGAGGACGTCGACGTGAAGGCCATGATCATGGTGATGACCTGAGATCGGTCGCTGAGTACGAATATGGCGAAAAAACATATACACAGGCAGAAATTGAACAAGCGATTGTAAACGCCAAACATCCTTTCGAAGATTTCGGTTTGATTGAATCGAAGGCACTAACTCCATCACAGCGCGCAATTACAAGTTGTATAGAGATAAATGGAGAGTATGCATCTGAAGAAATCTTATTAAACTTTTTACAGACCCACTGGAATTTCATTGGGAAAATGAATATAAAATTGCCTAACAATATGCCAGATACCAGAATATTGCATATAAATCTTGCCGTTAAAAAGAAACAATTGCCTTTATTTGTTCAGAGTCCAAATGACCCATTGGTATGGACTGTAAATAAAAATCCAGAAGCTGATAAGGCCACAACAAAATCGTCAGCTGAAGATGTTGAAAGTGAACAAACAATACCTCCATCTGAATCTGAAAATTTCTCCGAGACACCTCAACAACTATTTCAAGATGTAATATATCAAATCGTTTATGATTCACCCGAAGGAATCACTCAGGAAAAAATATATAATGAAGCCAAACCGTTTCATAGGTGTCCTGGAATATTTTCGAATTTACCTCTTAACCGAAGAGTGAAAGCTACCTTGCTTTTCTTGAAATCATCGATGAAAGTTTTTGAACTGAACGGATGTTGGTCATGCAATGGTTATATTCCGTTGGCTTTATCTAAAAATGTTGATAAAATGTGTATTAAGACCGATGATTCGCTTGGAAAGCTCTCTAGTCTTTCTATCGAAGATCTGTATAATTTATTGAAACAAAGGAATGTTTATTAACGCTATAATAAATCGAATGTTTAATTATAAAAAGGATTGGCAACTATCAATTGATATTTCACTTATTTCGTTTTATTATTATTGTTTTCTGGTAAACTTGTAGTACTTACCATAATATCTGAATGAAATTAAATAAATTTTGGATTGTTTTGAGCATTAAATGAGAAAAATTACACTGAAATAAGAGTTCATATTAAGAGAACTCAGGATTACGGATCGAATTTAATTCATTATGTCATATATTAATATTTTATTATGTTTATTTTACATATCATTTTAATCAAAATAATTTTTGAATTCAATCTTGCATTAATTCTCGTAACACTATCAGATTCATTAAAAAGTTCAGTTATATATTCGATAACTGAATCATATTTAATATTTTCCATAGAAAAATTAAATTCAATAAAAGCATTCCCTTGATTTGGATCTTGTAATGATGATTAATGGTTTTTCTATTCAATATATGCATAGTTTCAAAGAATGAAATCATGATGACTATAAACCTAATTTATTGTAAATGAATCATATTTCTTTCCACATGAATTCCCTCTCAATTTTGAGATGACATTCAATTTTTAGGATGCTTTAAGTGTTTCTATCTTGCTATACGAAGAGCTTAGAAGGAAACAGTCTATGGCAATATGTACCTATAAACATTGGTTGGTATATTGGATATACTTTTATTGAATGAAATCAATGATGTATCCTTGAAAAAAGAGATTTTAGAGTTCTATAAAAATTTTATTGATGAGAGAAAGCCTGATAAAAAAAAATATTTTTATCAATTAAATAGAACACTATAACAATAACAAACATTTTATTGAATAATAGATGAACAAAATCAATAAAAAATATAAAAAAATTAATCATTTTTCTTTCTTTGTCTTTGGAACCATTTCTTCTTTTTCATTAATGAATTAGTAGTGTTAGTTGACTTTTGTGCGCTTGCCTGGTTCTTCATATCTTCATCATCAGCTCTAATTGCTTCTGCTTTCAATCTCATTAACTTTTCGAATTTGTCCCTTCCTGGTTTCCCATCTCTCCAGTTCCTGTTCAACAGTCTCCAGTCACGATTCGCATGTTTCCGTCCGTAAACGAAAGGATTGAGAATCATGTAGCCTACGAACGCCGTGAATATTATGCAGATAGAAAAGAAGCCTTTCCAGAACCTTCTCTTCTCAAATAACAAATCTAAGCTGCATCCGACGCAACAAGCGGCAAACATCAATGGAATGTGGTAATGGTATAAGAACATAGTACGGGGAACACCATAGAATGGTAAATATGAAGCCCAGTACCCAACAATAAATCTCATGGCCAGAGGGAACTTTTTCTTCGACCAAAAGCACAACATGCTTAATACTACGCCACAGAAAGTCATAATGTAAACGAAATAGTTCCCGCAACAGTACAAACTCGGTTCTCCCCATCCTGAGTAGTAAACTATCCATTTATCGCGAAGAAGAGGCCAATCTTGGGGTCTAGTCATGCAATGGTGTGGTTCGAAGTTGATTCCGTTCGAAATATATGCTGTTGCGATGGATGAAAAAATTCTATTTAACAAAGGAGGTCTTCTGACCCATCTCATCATATTTGTCTCGTTGCCACGCTTTCTGTCGACAAGGCCGTAGAGTAGCCACTCGTAATCCCGCGTGTCGCTCGTTCCATAAGGTATAACTTGGAAATGTATGATCCAAATTGCGTAATGAACGGCCAATGATGGCCAGAATATGTTCCAGCCTCTATGTATGACTTCCGGAATGATTTTAATGTCTAATTTGTAAGTTCGAAATTCAACAATTTCAACTGCTTGAGTATACATGATGAGAATGAGAAGAGAGAGGGCAGTATTCTTAATTGAGAAGGCAAATGATATAAAAATTGATGCAATTCGCATCCAAATGTACCATTCTTTAGCTCTTGGTTCTTTTGTAAGGAAAAGATTAATAATTATCATACTAAACATCGTGTAAAAGTGTAATGTTCCGTCTGTATAGATGTATTTTCCTTCTCCTATCATAGAAGTCTCTACCGAAATAAGAAATCCTGAAGTAAAGGCAGCAACACGTGAAAGTAAGGCGGTTCTCATGGCTAAGTAGATAGTACATGGTACTAATGAGCTATACATGACACATGTCATACGTAGAGTAATATAATTTTCATTTCGATAGCTTCTATCTTCACCACCACCAAAAACTATACTACCGTCGTATTCTTGAAGCCAATCGAATAATGCAAATTGAAGTTTGGCAAATGGTGGATGGATATCATAAAAAAAATTGCGAGTAATGTAGCCATTAGTAAAATTTCCGAAATGACATTCATCAAATATGATATTACTTGGATATTGAACGTTGTAAAGTCTTGCATAGTACCCGCACATTGCTAAAATTATCATCATAAGGAGATCTCGCCAGTCTAATGCAATTTTTGAGTCGAATGGTTGAATGTAGTCATGAAATTTGTATAATCCTAGCTTATTTATCTGCCGAAAAAACCAATCAAACATTTTTTTTTCAAAATCTGTCAAAAAAAAATTCATATTTTTGAGGTGCTACACCCATAAAATCACATCAATATTTTATATTATACTGTTCAACTATTGATAGAAAACATCTGTTAGCCAACGATTTGTAGAAATGCTGTTGCACCTCAATGATCAGTTGGTGTAGTTGATTACTACAAAAAGAATAAGCAGTATTAGCATTTTGAATATGACAAAGTCTCTGCAGAATGAGGTAAAGTTGCTGAATACATGATCCTATCTAGAAATAGTACTGAGCAACCAATGATTAATGAGATTTCGGAGATTTTTCTTCCTGAGAATGTATATTGTATCAAATCACGAAAACTAATGTGTTTTTTAGGCATTACCGTCAGACTGTCCCTGTTTGTGTTTAGGAGCAATCTGAAAATGGCCTAAACATAATCAAATGATTATGATCTGTACTATCTAAGATTGTGATTATTGATTTATAGAATCACTAACTTGATATTGAAATCGCGGCTTTTTTATCTCTTTAAATCTGATATAAAATCATACAGCTTTTAATCCTTAAGACCCCATATTAATTTCCCCTTCATTTTTGATATCTCTATCTTGCTGTACATAGAGCCAAAGGCGAATTTATCTATTGTCATATGATCCAAAAATATTGGTAGGCATTTCGATATTTTCATGGAATAAAAGCAATGCCGTATCCTTGAGGGCCCATGAAATTTAGGCGCATGATCTACTCAACTAAATAAAACTAATTAAAATAAGATATTTTTTTTAACTAACAAAAGTATAAAATATAACATAAAAAAACAATAAAATAAAATAAATTAGTCACTTCTAACTGAAGTGAAAACTCTTGTATTCACTGTATTTGAGTTAGCGTATAAAATCTGAGCTCTTACCTGTGATTCGAGTTGTCTTTTATCTCTTTGAACTTCAGCAATTTGTATCTTTGAAGACATTTCTTGTTTCTGCAACTTCAAAGTTAAATCTGTGTTTTGTGCCTTGAATCCTTCGTTTTCTATCTGTAACCTATCAACTTCACGCTGTAATTTGTTGATAGAGTCCTTGTATTCATCAGTTTGGAATCTAATCCTTGTTAACATCGATTTTTCCATATTATCTAATTCAATCTTCATTTCTTCTTCATTTTGTTTCGCTTCTATCTTTGTATCTTCTAATGTTTGTGTCAAGACTTTGATTTTCTTCTTCAGTTTTGTTCTGTTTCTTCTTAATTTTTCAATATACTTCCTGAAAATTTCTAATTGAGAAGTTAAAGACTCTGAACCTTTGTTTTGGATTACTAAGTCATTTTGTGCCTTCCTTAAATCATTGTTAACTGTTTCTATCTGTAATTGGAGGCTGTGAATTGAATCATCTCTTGATTTCATTTGATTTGCAGTTTCTGTACGATATTTTTGTTCCAAAGCATCTCGTTCTTTATCAAACTTGGATCTTTCTTCATTAATTTGTGATTTTTGCCTTTCAAGTTCATTATTCAAATTAATAATTTGATTTTTTAGGTCATTTAGTTGGTTTGTTAAGCTTTCCTTCTCTAGTTCAAGCTTGTTGATGGTTTTCTGATCTTCCAAGTTTTGATTTCTGCATTGTTCCAGTTTATCATTTGAAATCAACAAATTTTGATTGAGATTTTCTATTTGTGATCTTCCCTGTTGCAGATCTTCTGTTATTTTAGTGATGTTTCTGTTCAATGCATCGATTTCATTTGATTTTTGTTCAGTTATTTGTTGAATCAAAATTTCTTTCTGTTGTAATGCAGAAGTTGAATCTTCAATTGTCTTCTTAGCACTTTGTATTTCTTTCTGGTAGTTTTCATTATGATTTGTCAGCTTTTGAACTGTTGATACGACATCATTAATATTTTTAATGTTTAATGTCGAACAAACCTTTCCAACATCTAATTTCAGTTCATTCAGATGCTGAATTGTTGATTTAATCATCTCAACTAACCTTCCAAAATTAATATTTGCTTCATCATCAGAAGAATTCTGGTTTCCAATGAGTCCTCGCACTTGTTCTCTCATTTGATTAGTTTTTGCTACACTTTCATCCACAATTTTTTGGATTTTGTCCCGATATCTGTCGACAAGCATCACAATTGCTATTTCTAGCTTATCTCTATCAGACATCTTTGGTCCATTTATCTTTGGCATGAGCTCTGTAATGAAATCTTGCGATAAATGGAGGTTCGACCAGTTAATTGGGTTCACAAACATGACTTGTTTCTTAATCTTTGCTTGTGCTTGTTTTAACTTGAGCTGGAGTGTTTTAATTGTTCCTACGGCTTCTTTTAGTTTGTTCTGTTTGTCGTCAATGACTTTTTTCAGCTTAGAAATTTCGTCATTCGTCGATTTCTTCTGTTTTTCAATGTATTTCTTGGAATTCTTGATATCTTCTAGCATTCTTTCCTTTTCTTTTGCAAATTCTTTGCGCTCTTCTTCAAATTTTTCTTGTAATAAGTTATATTCCGCTGAAAATTGTTTTTTCATTTCATTTTTATCTGATTCTTGCTGGGATTTGGCTTCTTCAAGTTTCTTCTTATATTCGTTGTCAGAGTTCTTTGCTTTGTTGATTGTTTCTTCGAGTTTTTCTTTTAATTGACGTAATTCTTCATCATTTTCTGATTTAATTGTAGAATTTGCTTCAGAAATTGGTTTGGAATATGATAAATTGGCTGTTTGTTCTAATGATGCTCTTGTTTGCTCTAATTCATGTTGAAGATTCATATTCTTCGCCCTTTCTATTGCAAGTTCATCAATCAATGAGTTTCTCATATTCTGTGCATTTTCTAATTGATGTTGGAGCTCTGAAACATTGTCTTCATTGCGATTTGAAGAGAAAATTTCAGATGTTGTCGGAGTTACGTAATTTTGATTGGTATTCACACTTCCTGTAGGCGAAGGTGTTGGTCTTTCTGTTGTTTCGCTTCTTCTGAATGTAGAATCCTCAGAAGCAGGAAGAATTGGAGTTTGAGGAATATTATTTGAAATTTCTGGAGTTGTGACTTGAGAAAATGATTTTTCAATCGGTGGTGGAGTTCTAATAGAAGATTTCTCAGTGTTATTGCTTGTTTTAATAGTAGGAGTCTCATTAAACTCTTGAATTTGAGAAATTTGATCTGTTAAGCTTTTGATGCTCTCTTTTGCTGCATCTTTTTGTGCATGGTATTTTGCTTTGAGCATTTGTATTTTATCTTTCAAAGTTTGCATTTCATTTTGCATTTGAAGTTCGTATTGAATTTTTTCCTTCTTTCTGTCTTCTTCATGACTACCTAGGAATTCTCTAAGGCCTTGTAAGTTTAAAAATGCTTCTCCATAAATATCTGATGCAATTGATAATAAATTTGCAATTTGTGTCTTAGAAAGCTCAAATTCGGATGACATAGAATCGTAATTTTCTTGTAGTTGGAGATTTTGGAATTTTAATTGTTTGATTTGTGATTCATATTTTTGTTTCATAGGATTTATTGTTTGTTGGAGTTCGTAAATAGATCTTTTGCATTCCTCTTCTGTACTTTGTTTCGAATTTATTGCTATCTTTAATCTATGCCCTAAATCTTCTTTTTCTTGATGTAAACTCAGTATAGTTTTGTTTAATTGCTCTATTTCGGTGATTTTTGAGTCATAATTCTTATTAATGTCGAGTACTTTCTCTAATTGTTCTTTTAAACTACGAATTTGCGCAATATAAATTTCGTTTTCTTCGGAAATTTGAGCATTTTCACGTTTTGCGTAATGGAGACTACGGATTGGTGTTTCTGAGTTAAGTTCACACGGCAAATCCGTATCAGAAATGAAAGAAGTAGACATAAATTAATTTTGAGACTGTTTAAAAATGCAAAAATTTATGGAATACAGAGATTTTCATTGCCTGTATTAGAATATTCAAAAGCAAATTGAAAGAAAATTGTAGCCTCATGATGCTCAGCAAAGAGCCCAGTTGACAAGAGAATGCAATCAAAACGAAAGGGAAGAATTCCAAATTGATATTGTGATCAAAAAGAAAAAGAATTCTTCTGAAAGTTCCTAACTCAGTCGCAAACAAGTACTCTATGTTAAAGGCATGGAAATTACAACAATTCGTTGAAAAAAAAATTCAGAAAAGAAAAAAATGTCCCAGGCCAGAATCGAACTGGCCTCTGATCCGTGTCAAGGATCTATTCTAACCAATATACTACTGGGACTCTTCGAAAATCAAATTTCTATTTTACCTAAAATAATTATAAAATCATTCCAATTATTTTCCATGCAATAATCTAATACAATAAACACCTTTGTCCTTCTATTTTCTGAAAAACTAAAAAATTTTACAAATTTTAGTATTTTTTTTTGGAAAATCTAAGTATTCAATAGTAATTGGTTAAATATATAGTAAATAATCTTTATTCAACAAAATCAGTATACTTCGAAAGGAGTCCTTCGACCATTTGTTTCATTGCATCAAATCTGAGTGGATCTCCTTGAACTTCGCTCAAAGTAACAGAACAAGCAGTTCTCTTAACCTTTTTAACTGTAACAAAGAAGAAAGACTCTGCATCTGTATCTCTGAGCATGAAAAGCTGATCGTTGGGGAAAAACCAGTCGATATTTCTCTGTTTGTACTCCTGTTGTAACTGAGCGCAAACTTCGTGTGCCGGAGCAACTTTTAGAGGGAATTTGAAGGTTGTTTCCTCATCCATCTGATTAAGATCGTCATCTTTGACTAAACCCCAAGCCTGGCTTTCCTTAAAGCTCTCGTACATACTTGTACCCGCTGTAGCTTCAATAACAGGTGAAGTATGGCCCATTGATGCTGGCATAAATCCGACAAGAGAGCCAACTTCTGTATGGAGTGGATCCGATGCAGCATCTGGTGGAGATGGTGACCATGGTAAGGAAGTTAAGTCTGTTCTGCGTGAATAAAGGCCGTGGAAGAGTTTTGCGGATGTCGGACCTTCAGAAGTGAGTTCTTCTTTGATTTGTTCGTCACTTTCGTATCCGACATTTTTGAGAAGCTTGAAGAACTCTGGATCTTGGATATCCATCGGTGCATCTAACGGTGGATGAGGTAATGGACGAGGGAAGATATATCCTTCAGGGTAGTAGAGATGGAATGCTGGATGTTGTTTGATCTGTTCGATTGTAAAGCGTTTTGTGACATCAACGACAAGTATTTTGCTGATTAAATCTTTAATTGGCTCTGACGCGATATTTGGCATCTTGTAAATGCCTGTCTTGACTTTGGTAAGAACTGTTCTGACTGATGGATCATCAAATGGTAAATATCCCTGTGTGTTAGTAAAATTATTTTCAAAAATTTCGATAAAATTTCATAAAATTACGGTAAAAAGCTAAATTAGCCCGTAATTAAATGAAATTATCGAAGGTAAATAGGTACATACTGCAACAAGCGCAAATAAAATTACGCCGCAACTCCAAACATCAGCAATTCGTCCATCATACTGCTGACCGCGAATAACTTCTGGAGCAGCATAATGTGGCGATCCACAAGATGTTTTGGCTGTATTTGTTTTCATCCAACGAGCGAAGCCGAAATCTGCAATCTTGAGATTCTCGTCTTCGTCTATGAGTATATTTTCTGGCTTAAGATCTCTGTGGCAAATAGAATTCGCGTGTAAATACTCAATTCCGTAAATAATTTGTCTGAAAAAGTGTAAAGCTGTTTCTGGTTTGAGGAAACGACGAGATACTAAATAATCGAATAGTTCTCCCTTGGGAGCGTATTCTAAAATCATATATAAGTGATTTGTACTTTCGTAGACTTCATATAACTCAATTAAATATGGATGTTTCAAGAATTGCATTAGTGCTATCTCTCTCATGATTTTGCGCTTAAAATCTTGTTTTTCGAATGATTCTTTTTTAATTACTTTTATTGCGACTTTTTTACCTGTATCTGGATCACTACAGAGTTTAACCTTTGCTGATGTTCCTTCTCCTAGGTCTTTAATTACAGTGTACTTGCCGATCTTTTCACTCATTTATTAATTTTTTTTTATTTTTTTTTTGAAGGTGGATAAAAAAAAATTCATTTTTATTACATCATTTTATACATTTGCCTGTAAATGTTCACGGGATAATTCCTGACAGATGAGTAATTGGTTTGCCATTCATGAATTTTTGGGATTTGTCCGTATTGAGGGAGCAAAAGTAAATTGATATGAAATGATTAATACAGTTAAATTACCTGTTGTGTAACTGTATTCTGACTATAATCTGCTTTAATTCACTATCAAACGTGATATTTTCCATACATTTCTTGTACCCAGATTTGCCTTACTTTTACCACCTCTCTAAAGCTGGGGACACCGCCTATCGTTGGGAGTAGCTATTAAATAGAACCACCAAGGGTATTTTTCGAACTGCTGGTGTAATGTAGTGGAAACATTCGACATAATGATTCATTATGCCAAGGTTTGATTCTCATTTAGCCAATTTTTTTCTTTTTTGGATCATGAATTTTTTTTTGGGTCACTATAAGATTTGTTTCATGTTCTAAATCTGCTGCATATGTAATCTATTTTTATTTACCTATTTTTTAAAAATCTATTGGATTGCCAAATTTGAATATATTTAAAATCATAAAAATCCAAAAAAACTATAAATATATGTTTTATGCATAGTGCCGATACTCAAATATCAGATTACTTAGATCCATGAATAATATCCGAATTTTTTTTCTTAAAATTAAACTTCAAAACTTCTTGCAATCTTATTCTTAATCAATTGTAAATTTTTAAAACCATTTTTTAAAATAATTTTGCGTAAATTTTATTCTCATGTTGTTTTAATCGAAAATTGATACATTTTCAAAAAAATAATATTGACTTATGAAATTCATTTTTAAGGTGAAATAGTATTGTTTTTATTAAAGTATATGAATAATATATAAAAAATTAATGAATAATATAAGCAGATTTTTAGTTTACAAAACAAATATGAGCAATGCAATTTCAAACTTTTGCTGGCAATTTCGATATTGCTTAAGTTTGTAGTATTTGTGATACCTATAACATCGGCTTAATCAAAATTCGATTTTTCTTATGAGTTATTGAGAAAATTTGATTGCAATGAGAAGGATTTCGACGTTTTTGATAAACTAAGAGCTGAGCTTTAGGGGTTCAGTTCATTTATGGCTGTAGTTTGATGCGTAGATCTCTTTTTTATTGTAAATTCTTTCAGCATGGAGATCGAGAATGAATCTTTTGAGAACTTTATGAGTTTTTACACCCGTAAAGAGGTCCTTCGAGGAAAGATAGTCCAGACTACATGAAGATGTGGGTTAACCAAAAAAATCCGATGGTTTCCCCATATTCATGTAGATCTTCGAAAAAATGAGCACCAAAAAAGCCAAAAAAATAGGCTTTTTATTGGATTTGTACACTAGATCAATAATCTATTTAGGATCTGACACTCTTTTTAGCCAGAGATATGAGGTCCTTTCTAGGAAAACGATCTATTCATCCATAAAAAAAAAGAATTATCGTTTTCCCCAGAAATTACATGGGGAGTGGTAAAAGTAAGGAAAATCTGGGTAATTTCTTTACGAAGCTTTTAGGAACTTTGCAAATAATTTAACTAAGCTACTATCTCATAGAATCTAAGGATTTCGAATTCGATATCGAATCATATTTACACCTCAAATCAGAATTCTGCTATGTGAACGAAAGCGCATAAAGCCGTATATTATTAAAAGATCGTTCAGGTGGAATATATGATCTTATCAAATGAAATCATGTATCTATTATATGATTTGAAGAATTTCAACTCAAAAAATGCAATCACTATCCTTCATTTTAAATGATTAGTTGATGAAAACCTCTCATTATTGATAACTTCAAGTGAATTCTGAATGGACAATTTATCAAATCAATCATTTGCCTGTATAAAATATTCATCAATCCTATGCCGGATCAATAATCACTGATAAATGTTCAAGTGAAATCATACGTTTGCTATAAATGTCCAGAATAAAATTGTAAACGGCAATGTCCATTGAAAATTGAGAAAGCGAAAAACGAACCGTTCCGACCACCTAAGATGCTCCCAGTAAATCCTCAATCCCTCAAGATCGATGGCCAGCGCCAACAAGGCGACAATGTCCGCACACAGAATGTTCGTGCAGCCATGGCCGTTGCTAATGTTGTTCGCTCATCATTAGGCCCAATTGGCCTTGACAAGATGCTCGTCGATGATATCGGCGAAGTCACAATCACAAACGATGGTGCAACAATTCTTAACCATCTTGATGTCCAGCATCCAGCCGGAAAAGTCCTTATCCAACTTTCCGAACTTCAAGATCGCGAAGTTGGTGATGGCACAACAACAGTTGTTCTCCTTGCCGCCGAACTCTTACGCCTTGGTCAAGATCTCATCGATAAGAAGGTCCACGCTAACACAATCATCACTGGTTACCGTGCTGCTGCCAAGAAGGCAATTGCTTTCCTCAAGAAGAGCTGTGCAGTCTCCAACGACAACCTTGATCGTGAAATTCTCTTAAAGGTCGCTAAAACATCCATGAACTCAAAGATTCTCAACGCTTACTCCGATTTCTTCGGCAACATGGTCGTTGATGCCTGCCTTGCTGTTAAGACACCAGCTGGCAAGTGCCCAACAAACCGTGTCAACATCGTCAAATCTCTCGGCAAATCCCTTCCAGAATCCACAATTGTTACAGCCGGCGTCGCTCTCAACGCAACACGCGCTACAGAAGCATTCCCACGCCGCCTCGAGAAGGTCAAAGTCGCCGTCTTAGATTTTGGTCTCCAGAGAACACGTCTTCCAATGGGCATCCAGTTCCGCCTCCACGACGCCTCCAAGCTCGAAGCCATCCAGCAGGAGGAAGTCAACGCCGCAGAACGTGCTGTTCAAGCAATTCTCAAGGCCGGAGCAAATGTCATTGTTACATCAAAGACAATCGATGAAGCATCACTCAAGCCACTCGTTAAGGCTGGTGCCATCGGTATTCGCCATGTTTCCGATGCAGAAATTGCTCATCTTGCCAGATCTACAGGTGCTACCGTTGTTTCACAGCTCATCAGCGAAGATGGCGGCGAAACATTCGACCCAGCATGGCTCGGTGAAGCAGAACTCATCGAACAAGTTCCAGTCGGCGACAACCAGATGACAATCTTCAGAGGATGCGCAAAGGAGAACTCCGCTTCTATTGTCCTCCGCGGTCCAAACACATTCACACTCGAAGAAGCCAACCGTTCTCTTCGCGATGCCTTATTCGCTGTCAAGAGAGTTATCGAGTCAAAGCACGTCGTTGCTGGCGGTGGTGCTGTCGAAGCTGCCCTTTCTGTCTACCTCTCACAGATTGCCAAGGACTACGATGGCAAGGAACAGGTCGCAATGCTCAAGTTTGGCGAAGCACTTCTTGTCATTCCAAAGATTCTCGCAAACAACGCTGCACTCGATTCAATCGATTTGGTCGCTAAACTTCGCGCCGCTCACTACGAAGCCCAGCAAAAGGGTGAAAAATGCTTCGCCGCACTCGACTTAGTCAACGGAAAGATCCGCGACGGAATGAAGGACGGCGTAATCGAACCAGGTATGTCTAAGGTAAAGTCAATACAATTCGCTACAGAAGCTGCTATCACAATTCTCAGAATTGATGACCTCATCAAGGTTACTCCTGAGAAGAAACCAGATAGAAACGAAGAAGAGTAAATAAATAATTCTTCATATAAACGAATTTTCTGTAATTTTCTTGAAATTTTTCAAAAAATCACATAATTTTAATTGATTTCATCGTAAAACTAAAGATAATGACTTATTATTATGTTTTGATAGTAGAAATTTTTCCAAAATTTTTTTGATTTTGGAAAAATAAAATCATTTTTCTAATAAATTATTATGATTTTTCAGATTTCAAAATATTTTTGGAAAAATCAAACACACACAATAAAAACTATTTTATATAGATATAAATTTTATGCATATAATTTTCATTAAACATTAAAATTAAATATTCATATAAAATATTAACCATTAAATCACCATTTTCCATTTTGAAATCAATTTATTAACCATAATTTTAAAATATTTTAATGTAATTTTAAAATTATTTATGAAATTTTGAAATTTTCAATCGTAAAAAAAGTCATTTTTATAATAATAATAAAAAAGAAAATAAAAAATAATTTTGGAAGTTAAAAAGAAATATCAAAAAGTTCATATTTAAAATTGGTTGACAGCGGTCAAAATGTTATTGAAGCTAACGCACAGCTTTGAATAGCAGTTGAGTCCTTGACCAAATCCGTTGATTGCGGATTGTACTTCTGGACCAGATTCCTGAGTAATTGAAGCAGCAGCAGCCTTTGCCTCTTTTACGATCTTGAAAGTATCTGCGAATATTGGGTTGAGCTGGTTTGCGAGTTCGTTGAGAGCAGCTTCGAAGGATTTCATTGCTTCGATTGTCTGTTCTGTAGATTTTCCATTTGATTCTCTAGCGAGCTTTGCAGCACCTTCTGCCTGGTCCAGGATTGCGTTTATTGAGCCCTGGAGGTCTGTAAGTCTTTGTGCGTAAGATCTGACTGTATCTGCTCTAGATTGTGCAGTAGCGAGCTGGCCCTCGAAGTAGCCATCGGTTTCGTAAGCTTTCTGAAGCATCTGAGAGAGTTGTCCGTACTGATTGAAGATATTTGGATTTCTTTGCGAAATTTGAGCAGCTTTGATACCGAGAAGCTGAGATAATCTTGCAGATAGATCTCCTGCTTCCTGGCGCTTGGCAATTAACTGGTTGTGGACGTTTGTTGCCTCGTCAAATTCAGCTGTAGGGAGATCGCGAAGAGTTTTAGAAATATCGTCTAGAGCATGTGATGACTCCTCTCTGAAGTTGCTTAATCTGTTGTCAACTTTCTGGATTAAGGAAGATGCGGCTGAATCATCGAATTTCTTTGTTTCGATGGTTGTCTTATTCCATTCAATGGATCCTGTGAGCTGTGTGGCCTTGCCAACAGGAATATCAGGTAAATTACGTGGAATTATTTCTCCGAAGAATTTATCGTTTTCTGTTTCCATTTTATCGAATTGTGGCTTGCAGGCATTGTAGAGTGTGATCCAGTGCTCCTTGAATGGGGACTTGGACTTCTTAAGAGTGGATGGTTCTGGAATAATCTTGTATGCCTGTCTAAATAGGCCAATTGCTACACCGTATTCACTGTTTTTGTACTTCTCATTGCCAAGATAGATACTGGCAATTGCTGTGTAGTACTTCTGGTAATCTTCGTTCGGTGGATTAATCATTTTGAGTTTTTGAGCTGTGAGATTTGCGTATTCGGCCAATTTAGTCTCCTTATTCATGCCAACGAATACAGAGTGCTGGGCCATGTTGTAATCGCCGTTGGCATAAGACTGTAAGTCATCAAGTGTTGCAGCGGTAATTACCTTGTTAAAGTCTTCGTTATGGTATTCAAGGGCTCTGTCTAATAATGACTTGAGGGTCTTGATCATTGGAACAGTCTGCTTGAAGTTCTTTCCGTCAGCATTCATGGAATTTAAATTATTAAAAAGAATAACGGCAAAATTGTAACACATGCAGACATTTTCGAATTGGATCGAATAGAATGTGACATTGTTGTATGTAAAACCGGCACCGGCACCTTTATCTGAGATATTTATTCCAGATGTAAGTTTTGAAAGCATATTGAAGTAAGTAGTAAGATTTTCAACGGTCTCTGATGTAACTGCTTGAGAGTTACGAAGCTGTTCTCTGAGGGCATCAAGAGCATCACAATTATCTTTGAAATCGGTAGGAACATCGGTTTTCATCTGTTTCTTGATATACTCACAGAGTTTGGCACCAACATGGATTTGTTTGGTGGCTAATGCTTTGACTGGGCATGGTAAGTATGGGGGTAATGGAACTTCCATGAAATTTTTAGAAAATGAACGGTTGTTATTCCGGTGTTTTGTAAAACAAAAAAAATTATATATTCTGTTGGAAATTTTTTTTAGCGATTTTTTTCACCGGAAGAAAGGATGCTATTTTGGTACGAATCGGTTTTATTTCTCTAAGAACTTTAAGATCAAATTCACAGGAATGTCGCATTCGACGAAAGTCGAAATTCTGCCATTGTCTAAGTATTAATTATCTCAAAATCAAGTCTTTGCGTTATATGATGCCACCATTTAACTCTCAAAAAATTACCGATTAATTTCAAAATATAGCTGATTTGACTTTTAACAAGGGACATAAGCATGACTTCACGAAGATATATTACTGTAAACGTGTTAGGCTTAGAATGGTGAATAAATTCTTTTGCAAGATATGAAAAGTTGTAACCAAACCAAATGAGCAAAACACAACGATTTTTTGCCTAAAACATATAAAAATGATATTGTAATCAAAATAGATTTGCTCAATTTCAAAATTTCAAATTTGATTTTTTTTGGTCAAATTAATCAATAAATAAAATAGTTCTATCTCTACCTTATTGCTTTCTAAAAAGAAACTTTATTTAGTTTAATTGTTTTTCCGCCGATGAGCGCTTCTGAGATTCGGACTCTCCGAAACAAACTCAAAGCATACGAGCGCGTCATCGGTGAGAAAATAGATGAAGAGGGGATACATCAATTTCTTGTTAAATTAAAGGAAAGACCATATAAAGACGCAATTTGGGTCAGTTCTGAGTTATTTTTCAAGATATTTAGCGACATTGATCCCAAAACAATAGACATACCTCCACAATTCGATGATGATCACTATTACAATCCAGGTTTTGATGATATCGAGATGATTTTAAACGAAAGCAAGAATTTATACTACGTCAAGTGGAAAGGATTACCATTAGATCAATGTACAATCCAAGCATTTGTTCCTCGCAGCATAATTTCTAATTTTTTCGAAAAAGAAAAAGAAAATTTTCCAAAACCAAAGACAAAAATAGTCAAACGAAGCAGATTACTACTATTTGACGACAATTATCCATCAGAAGATGAATGTCCTAATACAAAACAAGTAACTTTGAATTCATTGATGCAAATGTACAATTTAGGGGTATCTCCTGTTCTTTTAAAACACGCCAATGATGACATAGATGTTCCTTTTCGTGAGTTCTGTGTCAATTTATACAAATCTTACAATGTTTTAGGTCCATTTTTAATTATTACGACAAACAACGAAATTTCGCATTGGATAACGAGTTTACACGAGAATACACAACTTACAGTTTGTCCATTCTACGGTTCAGACTCTAGTTTGGACATTGCAATTAAATATTTTAATATAAAAAATACAAAACAGTTAAAATTCCATTTTCTCATTGCAACAGAAGAAGCATTGTCATCCCGACCAGAACTGTTCAAGAAAATAGAGTTTCCTGTTGCTTTTATGACATATAAAAGTAAAATACCAGATTTCATCGATTCTCCGTTCCAAATAAGTTGTGACAAAGTTCCTTTCAAAAATGTTGCAGCGTTTTACACAAAAATGTCAAAAATTTTACTAAAAACAAAAATTGATGAATATGATGCTGAAAAAATCGTTTCTATTCAAAATTCTTATGCTCCATTTGCTGCATTTGCTAAAGAACCAAAGCATAATGTCATAGAAATCGAATGCGACATTGCAGAAAAACAAAAATATTCAATTTTAAAATTTTACAAAGAAAACATAGAACTGATCAAACAGAACCAACTCAAAGTGTTTATGGAAAACATCCAGCCTATTCTAATCCATCCTTATTCAATTCCTGAAAATGAAAAATTATATCATACAGATTTACTTTCAGCATCGAACAAACTATCAAGATGCATCGAAGTCATCCATCAGAACATGGAATTTCATTGGAATACTTTGGTTGTGTTGCCAAATCAAGAATTAATTGAAATTTTCCAAGATTCGTTCTACGAAAACAACATTACATACTCTACACAACACACAAATGCAAACGCTACTTTGGTTCTGAGCTCCGATCCAAATTTACCAAAATTTGAGAACTTTACAAATTCTGTCATTTTTTTCGGAAAAAATTTTGAGTGTAAAGGAAAGAAAAACACCAAATATTATAAGATTATGTTCAAGCACATAGATGAAAGCGGAATCAAGTCCGAAATGAAGATAAAATTTTTGTATCTGATTTGTTCGACCAAAATGAATTTAAACTACGAATCTGATTTTGTCAAAGATCTACTGAAAGAAAAGAACTTTTTCGAAGATTTTACGATTGTTCCGAAATTTAATACGGCGATTTACACTGATAACTACAGAAACATGGCATTAGTCGTCAGGGAATTCATCAAATGGGGATTCGGAAGCTGGCAGAAGGTTCATGATTGTTTACCTTTCAGGATTTCATTGAAAAAACAAAAAACAATTATTTTTTCAATGGTTTACAAAGCTCTGAAAAACCGACCAACTAAAAACGACTTAGAATTTCTTGAGTACTATTCTCGAGCATATTTTTATTCCATACAACATTACGAAGAAAACTATCCCGTTGTCCAAGAAATGTCGAATTTTTTGTTCATTTTACAAAGCCAAATAATTCTTTACAAAAATTTTGATTTCGTTTCGAAATTAAAATCGGTTCCGACTCCACCGCCAGCAAAAAATTGGTCTATCAAAAACGATAAATTACTTTACGATGAGTTTACAAAAAACGGTTTTGACAATTTGACAAATTTACCAAAAGAACTTTCCGGCATCAAAAGGGAAGAATTACTTAGAAGATACGAAGACATTTTAGTGACAGCTTCTTTGAATTGTATGAATTCAAAAGAACCTTATTTTTCTTTTATTTCTCCTGTTCTAAAACTCCAACTTTTGCCAAGTGATGTGACCAAAATTGTTAAATACATGATAGATCAAGGTAAGAACATCGAGAACTACTTCGTGCCGAAGAAGAAATGCAATGTAAAAGAAGCTGTCAGACAAATGTCAAAAATTTCAAATTATTTCTCTACAAAACCGGATTTTTCCGAAATTTTCCAAAAATTGAATCACAGATTGGCACTTTTTAACCAAATTTATCTTTTGTTGAATGACGAAAACAACTACAAAGTCATACAGACTGTTGGAACATGGCTTCCGAATATAATGCCTGATGAAGAAATAATGATTTACGAGTATATAAATGAACATGGATTGAATTCAATTCCTGACTTGATAAAAGATCCAATTTTTAATACAATTTTCAAAGGAACAATTCCTGACAAATTGAAGAACAAGAAAAGTATAATGATGAGAGTTTCTTTTCTGAACAAACTGTTGAAGATTTCGTCAATTGTAAATGTTGCTGAAACTTATCACTCTGATTACGAAATTTCTTCTGCAGACAACATCACTGCTTTCATGACTACTGAAGACGACGAATCAAAGTCTCTCTCTTCGTCAAAAGAAAACTCTTCTGAAAATGAACAAAACAAAATATCTTCTGATGATGAAAAACAAAATAAATTTTCTTCTTCTGATGATGAAAAAGTTAAGAAACAAAGTAAATCAAGGGAAAAGAAGAAATCGAAATTTTCATCTAAAGATAATGAAGAAAAATCTTCATCTTCTCAAGAAGAAGAAAAAGATAAAAAACGAAAACCTGATGAAAAGAATAAGAAACGAAATATTTCTTCTTCTTCAGATAATGAAGAAAAATCATCATTTTCTTCTTCTTCTGAAGAAGAAGAATTTAAAGGAAAGAGAAAATCAAAAAGAAATAAATCTTCTTCTTCTGATAATGAAGAAAAAGTTAAATCTAAACAAAAATTAAATGAAAAGAAGAAGCCAAAAAGAAGTAAATTTTCTTCTTCTTCTGATGAAAATGAAGAAGAAAATTCGAAAGATAGTGATCCTTCGGATAAAGAAAGTTCAAGTAGTTCGTCATCTGAAGAAGAAAAAATTAATACATCTTCAAGTGATGAAAAACTTAGTTCAAAAGAAAGTTCAAGTTCTTCTTCTGATGAAAAATTATCATCTGAAGAAAACTCATCATCAAGTGAAGAAAAATCAAGTGATTCTTCAGAAAAATCATCATCAAATGAATCAGAAGCAGAAGAGGAAGAAGAGAAAAAAGAAATCCCAAAACCGAAACCAAAGAAAAAACTTAATTTGCCAAGAAAATTTTCTTTATTCCAACCTGAAGAAAAATCGAGTGATTCTGAGTTTTCTCTCATTGACGTTGCCGAAAAAAGTATCCCTGATTACGGAATGAGTTCCGACATGGATGCATCAGAGGAAGAAGAAATGAAAGAAGAAGAATCATTTGTAGATGACACAACAGAAGAAGATTCACCAGAATTTGTGGAAAAAAGACCTCCAATTATTATTGAACAACCGAAAAATAAATTTTTGACATTGTCAAAAGTCACTTTTCCTTTGAAACTTTCTCGACAAACGATGTTAGTCAGTTTGGGAGAAATCAATCCATTGTACCACACACAGAGATACATCTATCCAATTGGATTCAAATCGAAAAGAGTCTGGAAATCAGCTTCAAAACCTCGAACACAAGTTATTTGGACATCCGAAATTCTCGAAATAAATGGGAAGTTGACTTTCAGAGTTTCCGCTGATGATGAAAAGATATACATAGGAGAAACACCGACACATCCATGGATAAAGATCTGTAGAGATGCTTGCAAAGCAAACGGACTTAATGAACTAATGATGTCAGTCAGTGGAGTTGAAATGTTTTTACTTGGAAATACAACAGTTTTGAATCTGATTGAACAAATGGAAAACGTGGACAAATGCACAAATTATGTAAAGAAGTTCTCAAGAGAAATAAAGTCTACAATACTTGTGCCAAAGAAGTCTAGAAGAAGAAGAAAGCGAAAGAAAAATCATCCAAAACATTAATTATTTTTTTTACTTTTTTTATATTATAAAGTTTGTTATTTATATATTAGTTTGTTATATATCATAAATATATTTGATTTTTTTTTGTTTTTCTATTTTTGAATTTCATGAAATGGTCAGGAAATTGAAATTAATTGATATCCTTAGAAGATTTTATTAGAGAAGGTATTGCTAGATTTGTGGAGATGAACTCATTTGTAAGAACATTGAATTGAAATTAAAATCCAAATCAATAAGGCCCATTCGATATTCCAATAATAAAAGTATTTAGGTTCACTGAACATAATACGTAATTTTTAGAAATTTTTAGTAGATTTGATTAATTTGATGAAATTTAAATTCTATTTATTGAGCCAATTACTATCGATTATAACTTTTCAAGTCTTATAAAACTTGTCTACCATAAAATAATGAATTAATTAATACTAATAATTAATCATGGTTTATTAGATAGTATTTAGTTAGCCTTTCCGAAGTATTCCTTGGAAGCCTTTGGATTTGGCTTGATTGTAAGATCGCCTTCACCATGCCATTGGGCTGGGCAAACTTCGCCGTGCTTGGCAGCGAACTGGTAAGCCTTGACGAGGCGGATGATTTCATCAACATTGCGGCCAACATCTGGGTGGTTCATCTGGATGTGGCGGATGATGCCCTGTGGGTCAATGATGGCTGTTCCACGGAGTGTGTGTCCATCTTCTTCCATGTACCAGCCGTATTGCTTGGAGATCTTAGCACCAAGATCTGCAAGAAGTGGATACTTGATTTCGCCAAGGCCACCATCCTTACGTGGTGTGTTGATCCAAGCGAGATGTGTGAAGCATGAGTCAACGGAGAGTCCAAGGACTTCGCAGCCGAGCTTCTTGAATTCCTCAATCTTGTTAGAGAATTCGATGATTTCTGTTGGGCAGACAAATGTGAAATCGAGTGGATATGAGAAGAGGACAAGCCATTTGCCCTTGTACTGCTCAAGAGAAACTTGCTTGAAGTCTGTATCTGGGAAGACTGCCTCTGTCTGGAAAGCTGGAGCTGGTTTACCAACAAGCATTAGCTGAAAATGAACTGATGAATGAATTAAAATTCACTTCAACCAACCATTGTAAACTATTTAATTTTTTGAGTTATATTATTTTTTGTGATCCCCAAATTGAGTACATTTTATCTATTGAATGGCTATCTCACATCATAGATTATTTTAAATGCTTATACATTATAGGTCAACTTCATATTTTTTTTTGGGAAAATTTTATCCTAAATTAGCCGACCAAGTTTTCGGAATTGGAGAAAATTACCGATAATAATGATCCCTAGAGAGTTTTAAAAAGAAAACCTTATTTGATCTTGGTAAACACAGATAGTAATAAAGGAAATTAATAACGATTCAGAAAATCAAACAAAGTGATTTTGAATTTTGAGAAATATTTGAATATTTAGATGAAACCCACATCACAATAGAAAATTGTTGCATTATCTACTATTAAAAAGAAAATCCAACCCCTAAGAATTGGACATCTGAGACAAGAAATTTAATTTCAATCAATATCTATAATCTGTAAATCAAATAATTAAAATAAATTAGAGACTTTAACTACAAAAATCAAATATATTGAATAAATATTTTTAAATTTAAATGACTGGATTGCCAGAATGACCTCAGAAATGCCACATCTACATCCTTAAAATAGTAAATTATCATAACAAATTTTATTAAATAAATTAGAAATAAATATGAGAGACTTTAGAATCCTTCCATTTAAACTACTAAATTATAAAAATGGAATCGAATACTCGTAAGGACCCCGAAATTTTGGTGTTCCAGATTTGTTATATCACAATAAAGAGTTTATTGCAATCAGGTTAGTAATGAACAAATTTCAAATCCCAAAAAATTCTATTTGATCTAATCTAAATTCTATTATGTCTGCAATGTGCATCAACTAGAGCTGCGTTGTGGTTAATGGAAATTTTTGACACCAAAATTCAAAAATAAAATTCAGACCTGACTTTGTCAATTTTTAATCTGGATGAAGGATAAATTTTGGGAAAAAATTGAATAGATTCTCAAATATAAATACATTTAAAAGAAAAGAAAATATATTTCTAAGTGTTATCATCAATTTGTTTCTAAATTTGAATGTTTCAATAGTATTCAATTTTCATTATTGTTCATGACTTCAACAGATTACCGACAGCAATTGCAGCGGCTTTCACAGGAATTGCAACAGGCATTCATAAAAGACATTGAAAAAGGTCGTTCCATCTTTGCAGAATTATTAAATATTCACACCGTCATTACAGGTAAAAAATTAGATTCAGATAGGGAGAAACTTGTTAATAAGTATGTTAATAAAAAGAATGTCGATCTCGAATTACTTGAAAAGCAGGTTGGTGTTTTCGATTGGAAAAAATCAAATTCTTATAAGAAATTCTGTGAAAGATTTCCGAATCAAAAAGTACACCAGGATGTAATGATATCTATAGTCAACTTAATGGAAAAATTTTACATAAACAATCCGAATGACCCTGAATTTCATCCAAATTATTCAGTTAGTCCCAGGCAAGCAGAGAAATTCAAAAATGCTAGATATAAATTCTTTGATAATAATATTGAATTATTCTCACATCTCATGGAAGACAAAAATTTCAAATTTGAATACATTAAAAATAAATAACGACTCATGTTTTTTAATCAAAATGTTGATCTGATTTTGTATTAAAAACTTTGCTTTTAACGTTTCTTTTTTTTTTTGAATAACTTATGTCAGATTAAAAATATATAAGTTTTATATATATTAGCTTTAAGGAATTATATTTTGATTGATTGAAATGTCCCAGGACAATTTCTCAGATCGTCAATTTTAATTGGAACAAGAAGAGAGAGAAGAAGACAGAGACATAAAGAAATCAAATGGAAAACTCGATGCTGTTCAAGGGAAAACTTAGATTCGAAAGCAAAAATTTAAATTTGTCAAACTCATTACTGAAGACTATCATTTAACAGCGGCCAATGTAGTGATGCCGATTTGGAAGATAATCCAAGATTTTCCAAAATCTAAAAAATGATATTTTCCTTGGCAATTATTTTCTTGATTTTTTCATTTTCAAATTTTTTTTGGAATTTTTTATCTATCAAAACATCAGATCTTAATCGACGAAAACCTTTGTTTTTAGCTATTTAATCTATAGGCACCAAACACAGGTATTCCGGGAAAATGCAACTTGTAACTTTCACAAATCTCCGGAAGTAATTTTGAATGAATTCGGAAGAAATTGAGAGATGAGGAAGGAAAAAAGGAAGGAAATAAAAAATTAAAATCTTATAATTTAGTTCCTTACATGATTATATGCAAACTTCCTTCAACGAAAAAAATTTGTAAAAGGTTTTTTCTCAAATAAAAAATACGTTTGGATTACTTTTATATATAAATTTGAATAAAAATCATGTAACAAGCAAATCATATTTTCCAGGAAAATAAAAAATTGAATACTCGATAGGATTTTTCTTGGTCGGAAGTTGTTCTTTCATCTTAAACATATGCAAAACTTTATCTATCAATGCAATGGAATGACATACAACATGTTTGACTATTTATATATCAAACTTATTCAATGCACAATCGTTTGTTAAATCATTATTGGAACTAAGTCTCGTTCATTACGCTTCTGCGTATTGGAAAATGCATAAAATTACATAGATCGGCAATACCATAACTATGGTACAATGATTCCTGCTTGTTAGCCTTTCAGATAAAAAAAAATCTTTATTTTACGATTGAACTAGTATCATTCTGATTAATTATCCAAATATGTTACAGATGTATTCCTTTTTATTCACTATTTTATAGAATTTTACATCCGAGATCAATTTCAATAATAAAGCGCATCAATTCGGCTATATACTTATTCAGATCCTGCTATATTTACTCTTGTGTTTGAATAAACATAATTTTTATTTTACATCATATCTTCCTGAAAATCTTCCCAAACTTAAATAATTTACTTCCGAAATTGAAATTAACTTCCAAATCGGCATCACTAGCCAATGAAATTTTATTCATTCTTGGCTTTGAAAGTAAATTAAAAAAGATTTATAATTTCGATAATAAATTATTAAAAATTCTCGATATTCATTCAAAAAAATATAATTTACATATCAATTATAGATAATAGCCCAGAAATGTTCATCTCATTGACTCAAAGAGATGAATTTCATAAAATCAAAGACTTCATAGCGATTTATATCCAGATTCTTACTCAAGAAGGATTTCTGTTGTAACTACGGAAGAGTTGATTATTTCAAGTTTTAAAGAACGAAATTTAACTCAGAGATAACTAAAGAATGTCTGCAATTATCATTTTTATGAGGAAATCCAGAGATCATGAGTGAATGTTTGAAATCTCAAAAACCAGATTACAAATGCATGAAATATGAAATTATTTCACACAACATTGATTTTATTACATTCTTGATGAACAAATTCAATGTTGAAATCATTTTATAAGATTGTTGTAATATTGAAACTTTTTTAGTTTATTTCGATCAAACTAATGATTTTAATGAATATTTTGTTTATTTCGCAGTGTTCAATATTCCATTATTTTGTGAATATATACTTTCATTTGGTTCAGATATCAATGCAAAAGATAGATATAGAAATACCACTCTTCATTATGCAACTATGAAAAATAGGAAAGAAATGATCGATCTTCTTCTTTCACATGGCGCAAATATCAGTGAAAATGATGGATATAGATTAATTCTCATTCATTGTGCAGCATGGTATAATTCTAAAGAAATAGCCGAGCTACTTATATCACACGACGCTAATATCAATGAAAAAGATGAAGATGGAGAAACAGCTCTTCATAAGGCAACATATTGTAATAATATAGAAATAACTGAGCTTCTTATTTTACATATTGCAAAAATCAAAGAAAAAGATAAATAAGAAGAAACATTCCTTCGTCTTGCAGTAATTTCCGGTAGTAAAGAAATAATTGAACCTCTTTTTTTTCAGAGGTTTGGGTGGTGTAACACATACTAAAGAAACCAGATATCCTCATGTTCGAATTCCGCCTGGAAAACTTTTTAATTTTTTATTCACATCAAAATAAAAACATAAAGTTGACTCATACTAAAGAAACCAGAAGAAACTCTATTCACGCAACTTAATTTGCAAATTGGCGATGGAAATACTGTCGGAAGTGGAGTTCTTGCTGGTAGACAACTATCTAAAGTTTTTAATAGATCTTCTCTTCCAAAACAAGAACTATAAGCATAGTTTGTGTTCACTTTAATAACGCCTGTAGTTGTGATTACAGTATCAAATTTTATCAATCCACAATATTCAATTGATAAAATTGTAACTTGCTTAAAACCATCATTTGCAATTGATCTAATAGAAGGAGGAATAATTAATTTCTGTATTGTGCATGAAAAGAATGAGTAGCTTCTAATAGATTGAAGAGTATCAGGCAAAGTTAATGTTTGCAATTTGGTGCATCTCGATACAAAATCCTTTGGAAGAACGGTAATCAAACTTTTTGATATGTCAAGATTTATCAAATTATCACAATCACTGAAAATCCAAGTTGGAAATACTCTTATCGGTAAATCTAATGTAAAATTTTCAAAATTACAACCAGAAAAGCCTCCCCAAGTAGAAATCTTTTCAACATAAGGGAGAATAGGAGTATTTCCATTTGCTGGATATAAAATTAAAGTTTTATAATCACTTGTATATGCGACTCTATTATAAATAACAATATTTTCATTCTCACTAATCAATAAATCTAAATGCTTGTTGATTAATAATGGGTAATCTTGTTCAACTAGGAATTCTTTTTTGAAAGTGAAGTTTCTGAACTGACATGAATAGAACATTCTATTTGGAATCACTTCGAATCCTTGTGGATAAATTATTCTCTCTAAAGCAGAATTTATAAAAATTAATATCCCGCTAAATGTTTTACATTTGGAGTTTGAGAAATCAGCAAATACCACTTTGGAACTAGAAAATGCTCTATCTCCAATATCTATTAGTTGAGTTCCAGTGCTAATACTTTTAATTTCACTTGAATCAAAAGCTTGCGAATTAATATATTTGATTGAATCTGGCAGCGTGATGCTTGATAATTTACAAAAATAGAATGAAAAGTTATTGATGACAGTGATATATTTTCCATTGATTTGTGATAAAACAATTTCACCGGTATAGTTTTGAGGAATTGCGGAATTGGTACCATTTCCGATCCAAACACCATCAGGTTGATCAAGATATGTGATAAGTATATCATTATAAGAAAAACTTATTGTATTGTTATCTTTTTTTTCATTTTCTGGCAGAACCTTATGTATATGTATTCTTAATTGTAATTCTTATGGGAAATAGCAATTATTAAGAGCATTATGTGTTGTGTTAACTGCTCAATGAAAGCTAAACTGTAAAAATTGATTATTCAAGATATTTCTTTGAGGATTTGATACCAAACAACGAAACTTTATTTTTTTCACCTATTGTGAATTGTCTCATATCATTCCCAATGTTTAATTTTGAGAATTTTAGAAATTAAATTTGAAAATTGAGATGATATTTCATTTCAACAAAGATATCACTAATATCGTACATTTATTAATTGCAAAATCGTTTTTATTATCATTTCAAAATTTCAAAAATATAATCAAATTTTATTAAGCTTTTCTTTCACATGGTGATTACTTATGACAAGGTTATTGCAAACAAGTGTTCATTTCGTTCTATCGTATACTTGGTCATTGAGGAATTCTTTGAAACCAAAATAATTTTACTAAAAATTGAACTAGTGAATCAGTAGCATACAATAGTACTTTCCATTTTATATTTCAATAGCTCTTTTCCCAAAATTTTTGACAAAAATGAAAGTCTCGACCATCGATGAAAGAGAAGGCTTCATTTTTGATGTCTGTTGGCATCCATCAGGAAATTACATAGCTGTTTCAGGTGCTGATGGCAAGCTGAAGATTTTTGAACAAAAAGAAAATAATTTCGTTGAAATTGTTTGCAAGCAACGAGAAAGAGCAGCTAGAAGAGCACAATTCTCACCAGATGGAACTAAAATTGTTGTTGCTGGATTTGATGAACATGCAATTGTTTACAGCTTTGATCCAAAGTTGGATGGTGTACTTTCAGAAGAAGCTACACTCAGTGGACAGGATGCTGAGATTAAAACAGCAAGATGGTCTCCAAAAGCAGACTTAATCGTAACAGCAAGTAGAGATAAATCAGTTTGGGTTTGGGATACAGAAGAATACGATTTCATTGCAGTACATAGCGAACATACAGCCGATGTAAAGGATGCTATGTTCTCTCCCGACGGAAAATTCATTGTTTCCGTTTCATTTGATGAAAAAGTTAAAGTTTGGGAAGCTAAAGAAGAATTAGGTTCATTACAGACATTCTCTCATCATCAAGGTACAGTTTGGAGCTTAGCATTCAATCCAAATAACGGCAATTTCATTACTTTAGGTGAAGATGGAAAAATTATTTTATATAAATTAGACAAGGGATCATACCAGATTGCTGCAGAACTACAACTCCAAGGAGATCTCGAATCTCTTTATACAGCCTACTATCTTGACGGCCAATGGTTTGTTGGCGGCAGTCAAACGAAGATCTTTGTTGTTGCCGAGGATCTTTCGAAGATTAACCGCACAATTCCGATTGACCAGATGGGAGACATCAATTGCATTGCAGCAAAACCAGGATTCCCCAACCTCGTTGCTGTAGGCAATGATGATGGTACTGTTTCTCTCTTCGATATAGAAAAATCAAAATAAAGTATTAAAATAGTAATCATTTCTTATTTTTTTTTATATCAAATTTCTTTCAAAAAAACTTCAAAAATATATAGAAATTTCAAAATCTCGTGTTCAAATCCTCAGAAAAATTATGAGCAAAGTATTAATTTTGTGAATTGAATATTAATTTTCCTGTTTATTTATGAAAATGAGACATTAAAACATTATAGATTTAATGAATATGAGTTCATGACTGAAGAGGTGTCCCTAAAAACACTATATTTATTAAAAATATTTCAGGAATATCAATTTATAAAGGTTTATGATATAAAAATATAAAGTCCTCCGTGAATGATACAATATTTAACTAATATTCTCTTTGGAATAAGAAAAAACAAGAAATACAAAATTTTATTAAAAAATTTTTGTGAAAAATTTACAAACAAACCAATTTTTAATTAACACCTAAGACGTAATCTTCTGGTTCTGTAAAATCATCGGAAGAATCAGTAATAAAGTTTCCAATAACAACTTTAAACCTCGATGTCTTTGATTTTTGCTGCCTTTGGGAGTTCTTGACCTTAGTATCCAAGTAATTATTGTAAATATCTTTGCATTCTTGAATATTATCGTTAAATTCGACGTTTTGCATCTCCGTCATGAGTTTACATTCCTCATCATATGATCTTGGAGGCCATTCAGGGTGTTTAATTGATTTTGATTCAACTGGAATGTAACTTTGCAAAAATTGCTTTGAAATCGATTCCGTGAGGCTATCTTCATGTAAATCATAGATGTAAATATATGAGCTTGGACTTGAAATTCGAATTTCTTTACCCTGTTTGTAGTTTTTCTGAATCTTTTCTAGTTGTGAGTGAGAAAATAGTATTCTTTGCGTTGCTTCGTGTGTAACATCTGTGGAAGCATCAGCAGAACCAGTAGGCAAATCTTCAGGAGGAACAACAGAAAATCCAGGAGTTTTGATTTCAACTTTTGGAGCATTGATTGGTTGCTTTGGTGGCTTTGTAACAGGATCTTTTGGAACGCTAATTGCTTGCGTTTTAATTGGAGCCAAAGAATTCGGAAATGCATTTGAAGGAATTCGAATTGAAGAATTAAATCCTTTGAGTACATTTACGGCTACTGTAACTTTTTGTAATGGTTCAAATATATCAAATGGCTTTGGAGCCTCCAAACCATTAAATTCACTTAATAATTGACTTGCTTCAGCCTTTTTTCTTTGTAACGCAGCTAACCTAATCTTAATATACTTTTCCTTTGACCTTTGTTCTTGTTCAAATGTAGGAAAATGATAGATACAATTCATTTCACTGTCACTTTTTCAAAACAAAAAATATAAAATTTGAAGATTTCGCTATTAAAATCGAATTTAACTATAATTTTGATGATACATTATTCAAAAACGAAAAAATTTAGTTCATTCAGATCAATTTTATGCGAAATTCGAAAAATTTCTAAAATATAATCTGAGCCATATGAAAATGATCACTAAACTAAAAAATCCTAGATATCAAAACTTATTTTGGAGAAAATATTTACTGGTATGGAATAGTCTTAAGTAGCTAGATTGAGTATTTAGCAGCATGATTGTTTCTTTGGTGAAACAGTGTTTGTATTGAGAGCACCAGCCTCTGATGCTGGCTTTGGTGTAACGAGCTTGCCTTCCTTTTCCTTTCTAATGATACCTTCACCAAGGCGAGCGAAAGCCTCCTTAACACCAGTGCCATCCTTAGCGGATGTTTCGATTCTTGTAAGGCCATAACGCTGAGCGAAAGCATCAGCTTCTGCTTCATCGATCTGACGATCGTCTGTAAGATCTGATTTGTTGCCAATAAGGACGATGCAAGCATTTGGAGCAGCAAGAGCGTTAAGGTCGTTCAACCATGTGTTAAGCTCTTCGAAGGAAGCACGGCTTGTAATATCGTAAACAAGAATAGCACCGACAGCGTTCCTGAAGTAAGCCTTGGAAACGGAGCGGAAACGTTCCTGACCGGCTGTATCCCAAATTTGAAGCTTGATGTTATCACCATCAGCTGTTAATGAGTATGTCTTGAATTCGACACCGATTGTTGGCTGGCCTTCTTCGTTGAATTTTCCGTCAATAAGTTGGCGAACAACAGCTGTTTTGCCGACACCAGATGAACCGACGACAACAACTTTGAAGGAGTTTGTGGTAGAATCTGCACTCATTTATAAATAAAAGTGACATAAAACCATCGGTTAGATATGAACTCATTTTATATTTATTGGAGAGGGAAAATAAAGTTCATATTACTGAATTTAAACTTGACAGGCAGAAGAAGAAAAAGTGGGAAATAAGATTGACCCGAAAATTCTCGTCAAATTAGACATAGTCACTTAAATATTACTCATAAAAATAGCATTTTAAAACATTTTGCTTATCAAAAATACAACCTTATGAATTCTTTTAATATGGCTGGATATATTAACTTCAAATACTTGAATTATCTGATACGTAGATAATATTTGTACTAGATGCATGCAAATTATGCAAAAATTCATCAATAATTGAATAAAATCCAATTTTTTTCGAGAAATATTAAAACTATCAATGATAATATATTGATTTAATAGAAGAAAACAATCTCTATGAGTAATGAAATACTATTAATGTATCAATCATAAATACAATACTGGAATTCAATGAATTTCAGATCAGGCCATGTTTGAATCATCGCTATTTATTTCTCCAGGATTATAATAAACTGCGTCTGGATCAGAATCATCATTGATCTGTTCGAATCCAGGGAATTTCTTGATATCATCATTAGATTTTTTGTTTTCAGGAACAATAATTGGTTTACCAAAAGCTTCTGGCTTACGTATGTCACCTGGAGCATACATATTAAATACATCTTTTACACAATCTTCTGAACAACAATTACCCATTTTATTTATTATTTTTTTGACATGTAAAATAATGCACGTTTAATTATATCACAAATTTTATGGATTTGCTATTAGAGGCAGAAAACATAATAAATTCTGCAAGAGATACATCTGCTAAAGCTCTTTATGCAGAAGAAAAGAAATATATAACTTTGAGCCCGTTTAAAGATATTGTTCGTAAATTACAGATGGAAAATATCGAAATTAAATCTAAAATCCAAGAATTAACCGACGAAAAAGAAATACCCTTAAGTGAATATATCAATACTAGACTAAATATCATAATACAGCAATTAAATCCGAATATTATAATTTCGCCAGATATTAACGTGACTAAAGATCTAATTGTAAAAGCATTAAAGAACTACGAAACAACTATACGAACTGATATGCTTGATATTAAAGAAGACAATAAACACGTAATCGAAAAGATATCTTCTGTTGGAAAAGTACCAGAATTTAAGAAAATCAATCAAGAAACGACATTAAACGAAAAGATAGACGAATCTTCCAATCTACAAAGCGAACTTAATACTATCCAAGAAAAATATGAAAAATTATTATCACAGAATCAGCTATTAAAGAAAGAGATACAAATAATGAATCAGCATATAAAGTCATCAAAATCTCGTCTAAAGACAATATCGGATGTAGAAAATACGAAATCATCAAAATATAATTCCTCAAAATCCGTAATTAAGAACCTAACTAAGAGTATAAGGAAGGTAGAAAAGAACATTGATCTAACTAAGCTTGTCCAACGATACTCAGATTCAATACTCGAAATCCCTAAGCCGAAGCTTGAAGAGCTTTCCCAGTTGCTTAATGAGATAGAAAACCTACAGCGTGTGAATCAAGAAGTCCGAAACCAAAAAATGGTTGCCAAAATCAGCACAATTCGGATCACGCAATCCGTATCTAACCAAAAAAATACTAGTTTTAGATACATTATCTAATAAATAAGCTAATATTTTTTCCCAAAAAAGGATATCGTTTATCAACCATATCGGATAAATGCGGTATCGAATGTTTTTTGTAATGTATTCAAAATTTGAATACCTAATTTTGGAATTGTAAAGAAAATTCAAAAAAGAAATGCTCAGCTTTCTCTTAACCCAAAGCTTAGCAGCAGATGAAAATTTCCTATGCATTTATAACGTATCGAAGCAACTCTGCCCACCCGAAACCACCAAATTTTACTTAGCGGCGAATTATTCAAAGGATATGAAATCAGAATCCAAGAAAAACAATAAATTTGATAAACTAAACGTTACCTTATACATTCCTGAAAACTTGAGTTCTATAACTGTTGACGCTTACGCTTTTAAGAATTCTAACTTTTTTTATTTAATTGGTATTGGATCAAATGCTTCATGCAAGTTAAGCGTTTCAGAAGTATGCACTTTTAACTCTGTTGAATTCAACAATATTGAGCTCATAAAGAAAGATACAACAGAAATTGATCTTGCGGAATTGAAACTCCGTAAAGTTCTTTTCACAGGTTTCGACAAAGCATCCAAGTACTTCGGAGGAAAATTAGACTCCGATCTGCTCTCCACGCGATACATAACTTTGCTTTTCGAACATGTTACAATTCATTGCAACGAAACAGGCGAATTCGAAAAGAACTACAGAATAGATGGTGCAATATATGCTAAGGACATTATGTTTACCTCGTTTTTAGAGAACTCCACCGTATTTCAGTTTGGTGACCAGATGATCATCACTCCCGTATCAACAGTCCGTGGCTGTAGACGCACATGCATACAACCATACACTCCAGGCAAGAATGTAAGCATAACGGTCAGAAACGATAATCCGAAATCAATTTTAACGATAGGATCATGGTTTTCAAGCAAATGCGCAATGTTTACACCACTCCATCTTGAAATCATTGACTCCTACCTTACAATTCTCGATGGAAACTGGAATGACCAAGAGAATTTCAAAATTACTCTACAAAGAGCTCATTTACACATCAAAATTGATGGTCCAAGAATATCTTTAGAGAATAATACATTTGATTCCACCATTACAACATCAAAAGATTCATTAAAGTTCCTAAGCTTGAATCTTAAAAACATAAACAACATTGAATTCAAAGATATTGAAAATGTTTCAGTTATTGATTTATACGCAAGCAACAATTCAAGGATTGGCAATGGTGTTAAACAGATGTTTTGCAGATATGTTCATTCAGTACCAAAAGAAAAAGAAGAAGAAGTAATAGAATATGATGATAAATATAACGAAGGAGGAGACGAAAAGAAAGAAGAAGGTGTCACTTTTACTGTTGAATCAGAAACTCTTATAATAAATACTGTTGATCAAACAGTTAAACAGATAAATTGTAATGAATTAGTGGTACCTAACAAGGGCAAAATTGATGGAATACATCACAACGGAGTACTTTATTTCATTCATGACAGTGAAAGAATTCCTAAAATAGTTTGTAAGCAAATGACAAGTATAAATGAAACACTCAAAATAAATGTTCAGCCAGCTGGAGAAAATGATGTATTACCAGATGCAAATATTACATTGGTACAGAGTAATAAAACAATAAAAGCAGAAACAATAAGTTTAATTTGGGATTACAAAGAAGTACCAGATAAATCTGTTGGACAAAATATTGAAATCAAATCTGATGATATCGTAGAAGTAAATTCGCAACAATACATTTGTTTGTCAACCGATTCAGGTGATTGCGGATTGACTGATAATTATATAATAAGAACTCAAAATAATTTAAAGGATCTAGCTGAGAATCTATCAATTACAGAAAACTCGTCAAGAGCTGTTAAATTAAAAATTTATTTGGACGATGACTTCGAAAATTTCGAAATTAATTATGGCATAAAATTCAGAGGTATTAAGATAAATTCTGAATTAAATCAAGAAAATAAAGTTACTTTCACAATAGGAGCTGATACAAAACCTGGTTTCAATATTCAGTTGAAATCAGTTACTGCTGATATTCCTGAAGAAACAAAAATAGATACTTTGAAAATGACTAATGTAAAAATTGTTAGAAAAGATGTGAAATTAACTAATGTTAATTACATTGAACTTGACACAGAAACAAATGATGAATTTACTTATCCATTACATCCAGCTAATTCTACAATAATTAATACAGAAACTGTTGAAATCTCAGGAGAAAATTTGAAACCAAAAGTTTTCACAGATTTCGGTGAAAAACAAGAAATGAAGATTAAATTCAGAGGTGTTAAGAAAATAACTAAAAAAGGTGCACCATTCCCCAACAAAATAAATATCGGAATAGAAGTTGAAGATGCAGTAACTTTGGAATCAAATAATTTCGGAAGTATGCTCACTTTTGAAATCGGCGGAATTCCAGGAGAAAATAATGACATCGTTGTCAATTTCAAGGCTGTTTTACCTGCAAAAATTATTGATGGAAACTTCAAATCTATGACTCTAAAACCGAATTTCCTTGGTAATACATTTAACTACCAAAACCAGCTTTGCGGTAAAAACATCACTTTGGAGACAACAGGAATTGTGAATATCTCTAAAAAAACATTGTATTGTAAATCAGAATCAATGTTATTTATCACAACAGCAACAATTGCAAAGGATCCAATGTTCCAAGGTGTTATTAACTTGAGACAATTGACAATAGAAAGAATGATGGAATTGACATCAAATACTTATCTTCATATCGATGAATACGCAAATCCTGATGATGATTTCTTGTTACATTATAATTGGTCATTGAAACATTTCCCAACAGTGAAAATTTCTAAGTTTGTAAAAGTACAAAAAACTTCATTTACTCCAGGAATACAAACATTTGCTGATCAAAATGATGAAGACATCGAATTCATGAAACAGAATTTAGATATTTTCAAGTTTGGAATGCCATTTATTTGTATCGATGATAGTAATTACAGAGGAAATCTTTTCAACGAAGGAATGGTCTTCAGAAATGGAACATTAAATAATTCTTTGATTTCAACAGCAATGAGAATTGGTCCTTCAAATGCTGTATCACAATGCGCGTACATGTTGCTTTTCAATCCTAAAGAAGATAAAATATATGAGGTTCAAGCAAGTCCTGTAAAAGGACCTATTAATAAGGCACATTTCAAAGCATTAATCACTCTTTCCTCGCTTTTGCTCGTTTTCTTATGCGCTTTCTCAATTTACATGCTCTTCTTCCAGAGACGTAGGGCACCGAAGAAGGAAATCACTCATAGCGAAAGCCGCAGCGTGGTAATGGAAGACCTCTTGTAATTTATTAATAGTAAAAAAATAATAACTTATTTTAAATTTTTGCTAACTGATTTGACACTTTTTTGACGGATGGCATTCAAATATTTTTACTGTTTTTTCCTAACAGTTCAGTCTTTTGGAACAAAAAACTGTCTCTTTTATTGAACGAAAAAGAAATTGAATTTAAAATCATACCTTTTGATAAAAAGTTTAATTATCTATTCTACGATTATTTTTGATTCAAATGCTGTTCGGCATTAGAAGCAAAAATAATCATAATCAAGATAATTCCAATTTTATATACTTTTTGGGCGCTAAAGCGCCCGTAAAAATGTATACAAAATTGTGAATTTTTTAGATGAAAAATTTATGACAAACGGGGCCTCATAAAATGCTTAAATCTTTTTTGACAAACATACACTGCGCTATATTTATTTTTCGACAAAATTATCGACATAAACATGTAATTAACTACTATTTTTTCCCCTGCTTTATTATAGAATGAGATTATGATACTTTAAAATGCTTTTTGTCGTAATGGGGAAACAAAATATTCTAAAAGAATAGTAAGCTAACAATATGATATTTGAAATATTAATTATTTACTGAAAATATAGAAATAAAGTTTCATATATTCATTATTTTCTTTTTCTTGGATGCTAATTGCTTATGAATTGATATTAGCACCATTCGAAATCAAAAGCTCAGCAATTTCTTTGAAATCATTTTGGGTGGCATCAAGAATGCTTCAAGATTATAAAAAATTGAGAGCTGTCACTTTAAAATCATATTTCATATTGATGAAATCAATGTTATGTGATATAATTGCTGCTTCTATTTCGTATGGACCTGTTGGTTTTTTATCCTTCAATAGTTCATTCAAAATGTCGATATTCCCACCTAAAAATGAAAGACGAAGGCAATCATTATCGAATTTTGCATTGAATTTTGTTCTTAAATAATTGAAACAAGAAATTGCGCCACGATAACAACATAAATCAAGTAATGAAAATCCACCGTAGTGATTACGTGGATAAAAATCACTTTGAAGTCTTACGTCTTTATCGAATCCATCCTTTTCTGTAAATGTGATAAATGAGTTTATATCATCATTCATTATTGCTCTGTAAATTGTGTTCTCTTCATGGACATCCAATGAATATTTTTGATATTTACTTTTTTTGAATTCTTGGAGATAGTAATCCTCAAGACATATTCCATATTCTTTATATACAAAGTAACAAAAGCAAAAGTGACAGCCATAAATGCGCTTTGGACGATATTCTTCAAAAATCTTTTTGAAAATAAACCAATACGATTTTGCATAACGGTTGTTGTATATGGCTGCATTTGAAATGATTGAAAGGATCTTCGATGGCATAAATATTTTTGTTTCAATTAAATTCTTTTTGATATCATCATAAATCTTGGTGATTTCCGATTCATCATTTGTTTTGATCCTGTATAATGCGTTGAATGTCTCAATATAATTGGAATATAATTCCCTAAGCTCTTGAGATTTGATGTCTGACATAGAAATGAAGTGAGTTTTAGGAAATGCCTATTGAAATTTATATAAATTCATAACATGAAGTATATTTAATGTGCAGCTATTTTTAGCGAAAAATTCGAGTTTTACAGATCCATCAAATTTACCAAGAAAAATTAGTTAATCAGAATCAATTTAAATATCATAGTAATTGAGTCTAGTCAATAAAAAAGAACCTCCTGGAATATGGTTCTGAAAAAAACAAAAACTAAATATTTGAATAACTGATCTTGGTGAAAAGTACTATTTTAAGTTAGCAATTTACAACATCTTTCAATAGGAATATAAAAACCTTAGCAACATAATCTCGAATCATAAAGAGATTAAATTGATAATTGTACAAGAACAACCAATCAAACAATGTAAACTATATGTTAGAAATTACATACTAAATCACAAAAACAACAGCATTAGATTTGAAGATTAAATATGATTTTTCTGTAAATTATTTTATTGGAAAGGGTCAATGGTCAATTATATAGACAGACTATTTGAGGGGTCATTATAGTGAAAGAATTTCAAAAGAATATTTAAATGAAATTCAATCCACTAATGACTTAAACGAAAATTTTTCATTCATGTTATGTCTCAGAATCTTTTGATGTATTGATTCCATTAGAAATGAAACACTCAACCATCCTATTATAATTTAGTTTAACTGCAAGATGAAGAACAGTTTTATTTTGATAAATCGCATCATAAAGGGCCATTTTCATGGATTTACCTCTTTTACTTCGAAATTACAATTAAATACCCTATGATATTTATTTATTTATTTTTTTTAATAAATTGATTCTGAGCTCAGAAGATTACTATGAATTTCTACCGACCAAATCCGATCTATTTTTTAAAAGAATCCGAAGGATATAATAAATTGGAGTTTTAATAATTTCTAAAACTCAATTACATTTCAACAAAAATTTCTGAAGACAAAATTTAAGTGTGATCTGACAATCAAATTGTGGGAATTCTCAAAAAGTTGCCTATGCAAAAAGCCTGACGACTATTCAAACAATTTGTCTGATGAATCAAGAGCTCGTTCTTGATATCAATTACATTGCAAAAAACATTCAAACATATATTGATCAAGATAATTTTTATGATGTGATTGATGAAAATTTCATTCCTCAAGTTTTAGAGAAATCAAATCTTAACCCTAACGATTTTAGAATGCTTCTTTCACAAGGGGCATCAAAACTTAGTACAACTAGACTGTATAGATTTTCTAGAGAGTGTAATGTTTATATTAATTCATTTGAAGATGCGATTAATGTTCTTCAAAGCTATAACAACATTTTCAAACTTAAATCATCACATGCTTTAATTGATTACTTTTAGAAACACAATCCAGAAAATCAATCCGATTCCAAAGAAATCTCAAAATTAAAGATTGATATTCAAAATCTTGAATCCAAGATCTCGAAGATGGAAACTCAAATCAATGAATACAAAAAGAAAGAAAATCAATACAAAAAAGAACTTGTAAAAATCTATGAATTACGTTCTATCACTGATTTTGATACAATTTACAATTTCCTTAAGCAGCTTTCAGTTCAAGATGATATACCGGAAATGTCCATTTCCTGCGCGATTGGATTAAGTGAAAAGAGAGATTCTGATGAATATACACCACTTCTTTGTGCATGTATTGAAGGAGATCTTCACTTAACAAAATCTCTTATTGAAGGAGGTTGCGATAAAAATGCAGTTGACAAACATGGAAATAATTGTTTACTTTTAGCATCATTGTATGGACATCTTGAAATTGTAAAATATTTAATTAGAGTTGGTTTTGACAAGAATTGGAGTAAGAAATCTAATCAAGCTAATGCAATTCTTTGTGCATCACAAGAAGGTCATCTTGATATAGTTAAATATTTGAAAAGTATTGGTTGTGATGTCAACTCGAAACAAAATGATAATGCTAATTGTACTTACTTGGCATCATTAAATGGTCATCTTGAAACTGTTAAATATCTTGTTTCAGCTGGGGGAGATCCAGATGAGAAAGATTCTCAGGGATTTTCTCCAATAATTTGTGCATCAAAATATAATCATCTTGATGTGGTCAAATATTTGATTCAATGTGGATGCAATAAAAATGATAAAACAAATCATAATGATTCTTCACTTCATTTTGCAGCGGGAAATGGCCATATTGATGTTCTAGAATATTTAGTTTCAATTCGTGTCAATCTTCGTCAGAAAAACAATAGAGGAAAAACAGCACTTGATTTGGCAGAAGAAAAACAAAACGATGGTAAAAACTACCGAAGTATTATCAATCTTCTAAATCGATCAGGTGCTAAGTAATAAATTCTTCACAAACACATTCAAACTAAGGAAAGAGTTATTGTAACAAAAATAAACAAATAAATTTGACATCATAATATTTAACATTTTTAATCTTATGCTTATTTTTCAAGGGTGCACTTTACGCTAACTGATATTCTCTCGATTTTTTTTGACAACCTTCATTTACAAAGAGAAGTTGGATTACTTCTATTTATGACCAAATTTTCTATGTTATACGTCACCAATTATAAAGAGATTAAAATGATAATGGCTGATGAACATTTAATCACATACTAGAACACATATTTTAGGAGTAGGGGTAATTTTAGCTAAAAGTGACACGCCTGTAAAAAGTGACACACCCCTGAAGGGTGTGATTACCGATCGGTAATTTCGACAGTTTAGAATTTAAACTTTTTTATGGAACTGTTGCGAGTTTCATAAAGAATTTAAGGAATATAAGCAAAGATTTGAATCAAAATCTTAGACCTAAGCCGCTCGATTCGCTCGCGGCTTCCGCGAATTACAGATCAGCAAAGATTAGTAGTAGGATATGACGGGTTTTGTGACTTTTTTTGTAAACGTAAGAATTCATACATTTTTGAGCGATTTTGTATCATTTTTTTTACATATGAAGTAAAAAATGTATGATTCTTACGGTTTTTATTCTTACGTTTTTGAATAAATCAAGATTTAAAAAATTTTCAAAATTGTAAGACATTTACACTAAACCCATACATAATGAAATAAAAAAAATAAAAAAAATAAAAAAATAAACTTTAAAAATTCATGTCTTACATTTTTGAATAATTTATTTTTTTAATTCGTAAGAAAATGAGTGGATCAAGATTCGTAACCGTCAATCAATTAATGGATGCTCTTTCACCAATTCTTGAAAATGTTAAACAAGTAGATGTTTATTTCGATGATTATGTAGAAAGTTTATATTATAAAGGTAAACATAATATTAAACCCATTGCTTTTGCATTTGATAATAAATTAATTGAAAATGCAAAAATTTGGGAATTAATTCCAGATATTGAATATATAACGAATATAACTAATAAATGGTTCAAACGAATTCCAACCACAAAAGTTCTTTGTAAATTAATGATCAAAACTGAGGAAAAAGAATTTCATGAATTTACATATCATCCAAATAAAGTTTCAGAACTAGAAAATGAAAAACTTCAGAAAAAATTAAACGATAGACTTTCAAATGATTGTATTGAAAAAATAAATAAACTAGCAGAAGTTGCATTTAATAATGAAATATTTGATGAATATAACCTTGAACTCAGTGATGGGCTTTAAGGACCCGGGCTCAACGAGTCATGATTTATGAAATCAATAATTTGATTTATTCGCTCTTCAATAATTTCTATTCTTTTTGTTAAATCATCTATTTTCATTAATGAGGTGATTCTTGATTGAGGAATAGATTTCAAACTAACCACTCCTTTTATTTTTGAAATTTTGAATCCATCAACTTTAAACATTTTATTCAATTTACATGTTGTCAATTCTTCAAATAATTTTTTATTGTTAGCATAATAGTCATTAAATTCTTCAACAGATGAAAAATTTTTTATTTCAGTAATTGGTTTAACAACGTTTATTTTTTGTTGAACATTTTCACTTTCATAAATACCTTCCTCCTCTGTTTCATTTATTTTTAAAATTGGTTTCATTTATCATTAAATAAAAATTAGAATATAAGTGATGAAATATTTTTTTTAATTAATATTAAATCAGAAATGGCGGCAGGATTCTTTAAAAAATTATGGGATGGAATTAAGAAAGCTGCGGGTTGGGTTCATAAAAATATTATTAAACCCGTTGCAAACTTTTTGGCACCAGTAGCGAAAACGGCAGGAACTATCATAGGTGGAGTATTAGGTACTAAAGCAGGTAATCCGGCAATGGGAGCACAAGCAGGTAACGCAATTGGTGGAATAGCTGAAGGAATACTTAATAAAATAGGAGGTAGATAGTGGAAAAATAAATAAATATTATTTTTATCTTAGTATCGGTTGAAGTCTTTGATAAACTTTTTCTCCTTTATTTAATATTTCTCTTATTGGGGCGGCTTTTGGTGTTATTGATTCAGCAACGTCACTAATTGCTTCTTTATTCTTAAATATCCAATTTGCTCCTTTCTTCATTGTTTCCCAAACTTTATGCGCTCCTCTTTTTACTTTATCCCATAATTTTTTAAAGAATCCTGCAGCCATAGTTGATTATTTCATTAAAATTAAAAATTCATTTTCATCTTTTAATTTCGATTTTTTATTTATTAATAAATGACGACTAACTATTTGGTGCCAAACACTAAACCGATTAATGGAAATGTATTTCATTCATTCGAAAAGATAAATGAAATATTTGCAAAGAATGACGGTAGAAGATATTATAGAGAACTTGAAAGTTCATGCTATGACTCTGATGCTCCATATTTTGATGATAAACAAACTCATTTAAGAATTACAAATCCGGCTCATGATGTGAACCAATTAGGTGACACATATATTAAACGCAAAGTTAAAGCAACTCTAGTTTCAAATAAAGCTTTCACATGTGATGCCACTTTTAAATGCATGCGTTTATTCGTTGGTTACAAATCATCAAATCAAAGCTTTAAACAATTAGAAGTAGAAACCGAAAGAGGTGATGCCGGTTATCTTCAAATGGAATGCGCCCGTGAATCTTTCGCATTTGCAACATATAAACCAAAATCAGAAGGAAAGTTAAAAAGTTTGTTCATTCGTTATATAATAATGTTCAAAAATATGATAACTCAGTATGTGGTAAATATATTGACCCTTCAAAGTTTTCAAGAAAGCAAATGAAGAAGTTGATGTCACTTTTGATATGATTATTCCGGTAAATGATTTGTTAGCATTTCAGGCGTTCGATGATTATCCTAAATCATTTGGTGAAATCATTCTTAAATATTATGTTTTCAGGGATACTTTAGTATTTTGTCAGGTTGACCCGTTAAGAGTTGCTGATTTACAAAATTACGTTTATGAAAAGATAACTGATGAAAATTATGAAAGATTATGAATCATGTTTTATAAATATGATCGTAAATTCCAACAAATTGGACTTCCTGCCAAATTAATTACAAGCTTAGCCGCTACATCTGCTGACGCAACAGTTGATGACGTTATTATTTCATGCACAAAGATGGAAGTTTTAGAGGATAAATGCATTACACCAGGATACGGTTTAATTGAAGAATCAGTTAAAGCAATACCACGTTTATTCAGTAAGGAAGATCCATTCATGATTCCAGCTCAACATATTGACGTTCGTTCACTAAATGGAGGTTGCATCACTCCTGAAGGTATCAGTTCAGATTTCTCATACGCTCTTCATAATGTTACAGATGTTGTGTTAGCATTTCCGAAGAATGCAATGCAAAGAACAGTTTTAGAAAATCCAATGCTTCGAGGTCTTCAGGTCACTATAGATTCCAGAAACTTCCCCGATCAAGCGATGACCACAGTGGGTGACATATTCTTTACACGTATGCTTCAAGCTTCTGATTTAGATGGAGTGAATGAATGCACAGAAGAATACGAGGACTCATTAACTAGACCACTGAATGATGATGATGGCACACCATTAGCTAGAACATGGAAAGACCAAACTTCATTCTTATGCACTATTCCAGTTCAACGTGATGGAGCGGGTATATTCTTTGATGGATTAGAAACTTTCAACTCACAAGTTACAGTACAAGTGAAAGCTTATCCAATCATTCAGGGTGTAAATGACACTTACTGTTCAAAGGTGACAAATCCTCCTCAGGTTTGGTTTACTAGGACTACATATTGGACATGGACACCGGATGAAGGTTTGAAATATCATCCAACAGGTACACCACCACAGTATAGAAGTTCATATGATGAAATATTGATGAATAGAAATGTTTAAAATTATAAATTTATTTTTGATTAAATGGATTTAAATTCATCCACACCTTATGAAGAATTAGCAGGAGTATATAATACATACGTAGATGATATGATTAATGAAGCATTGAGTGATAATAGAAATGCTCTATCTAAGGAAAAATTAATGAAAATTCCATATTCTGAATGTTACTTAAATTCAATCACTGCAGCAATTGGTAAACAAAATAAAGGTAAAACATTAACGATATTAAAACAAATTATCATTATTGCTAACACTTCCCCCATTCACATGTGTTAATTTATATCAACCGTTCAGGTTCACCTTCAGATGATACATTTGAATCTTTAAAGCATTTAATCAAAATTCCAATTATTTATTTATCACAAGAAGAAGCAGAAGATTATTTAAAAAACTTTTTAATGTATAAAGAATTATATAATACAATCAAGAAGCAAGGATTAGAGGATAAAATTATTGATAAACAACGGGATGAATTATTTGAAACACTTTCTATTTCAAATTTTGATAAGAATTTTTGCATTCACTCATTTTTCTAGATGATGCGTGAAATCAAAACTAATAACAAATGAGAAATCATATTTTAATCAGTTATTAACTCAATGTCGACACATTCAGTGTTCATTCTTCATGGCTGTTCAATACTTTAAAGCATTAAGCACAAACATTAAATCAAATCTATCAACACTTTTCATTTTCAGTGGTTTTAGTCGTCAACAGTTGAACGTTATGCTTTATCAAGTGAATTTACCAATGAGCATTAATGAACTTTACACACAATATCAGCAATTAGGTGAACATGGAAAAATAATAGTTGATTTAAATAAAGGATGTGTTAAATTTGATTAACTTTTTATAATTAATTTTTATTTTTTATTTATAATTAAACATGACAGAAATAGCAAATCTTCTACAGGTTCCATTAAAACAAGGAACAAACAAAAAGGGTGCATATAATAGAACTATGAAAGTTCCAGACGGAATGAAAGAATTAGTCACATTGTTGCCGGTCTTCAAAAAGATGTTAAACAAATGAGAAATGTTTTAACATTACCAGAAGCTCAAGCATATGCCAA